TTTCTGCTTCCTCCTTATAATAACTCTAGTTATAAATTATTTCCAATGGAACGCAATTGCGAGCAATATGAGAAAGTTATAGAATTCTCTACCGGCATTAATCAAACAATTATGGACATTTTGCTCCTTATAGATACCAATAAATACAAAATTAAATATATCGTTTGCACTCGTACTAGAAGTTACGTAGAGTTTTTTAATGGGACAGATGCCATGGAAATTTTGGAATTATTAAGAACTCAACAATATAATCCCAAATTCTCATCTTGCTATGCAAAAATTATTTATGTCGAAAATAATGTTAGATTGCCAGAGTCAAATCCACCACAAAATAATAATCAATCCAGAAACAATAACATTCCTCCATTAAATGTTGAACACAATATTGGACATGAAAATATCGTTAGACGGGAAAATTATGTAGATCAAAATCAACATGAATATGTCATGAGACGTAGGAATTATGTCGGGCGACAACAATTCGATGTCATGAGGCACAACAACAATTATGGACCATATCCCAATATAGTCAATATACATGACAATTTCGTCCAAAGAGATCGCAATGTATTTATTCCAAGATTTTTTCCGAGACACATTCCAAGATACATTCCAAGACACAATGTGATGCGACAAAGAAACAACATGAGAGGTGCAAGATTCGTTCGTGTGATGTTACCGGATGATATGGAGCAAAATAATTATGGGATGCACCTCATAAGAAGATTTTAATAACATGAAGTTTTTGTTAGAAACATTTTTTTTAAATCTGTCCTTTGTTTCGGGCGGAGTGTAGCAAAAATAGTTTGTGAATTATTTAATTTTTGCTCTTTTAAAATGTTTAAAGTACTAAACTCATATAAAACGACATAATCGTTAATATATTTTAAACTGTTGTAAAAATCTCACCACTTAACTCGTATTTAAATGAATTAAAATTTTAAACGAACAACTAAAATTCAAAATGTTCAATATTACTGCATCATTAAAAGATGCGAAGTTGTTTGCTCCTTTTTTCCTCACTTTGTGAGTGTAACTTGAACGAGGAAGAAGTGGTGGATTTAAATTTTTTATACACGAGAGATTAAAAGTAAGAAATATACAATTTTATTCGGCTAAAGTGTACTTTAGCGGCGACTTTTTGAAATGCATTTTAAACGCTTTTATATTGTTTCTAATGTTTCTTGGAACCATTATCAGTTGATTTTAGGTGGGGGGCGACTTACCCCGGGGCACAAAAAGCTTTTTTTTAAAAAAAATTGTCTTCAACCTAAATTGTTTTTATTTGATATTTTTTGATTAATCAGTCAAACTAGGGGGCCTCGTGGGAACCGGGGGTTCTCGGGTGGGGACCACAACATAAAAGCTCTTTCGGGGGGTCAAAAGCTTTCAAAAAAGCTTGTTCCTATAATAGTGTTGTGATCTACCGGGTTCAGCGTTTGTTAAAAAAAAGTGTTGTAAAGTGTTTAAATGTAGAACCCACTGGAAAAATAGATTTTCGAAGAAAATCCTTATACCCTATTTAAATTGTAGATTTTCGAAGAAAATCCTTGAACCTATTTAAATATAGAAACCGCTTGTTTAATTGATTTTCGAAGAAAATCCTTGTACCCACTTAAAAATTGATTTTCGAAGAAAATCCTTTTTCCCACTTGTTTAATTGATTTTCGAAGAAAATCCTTTTTCCCACTTGTTTAATTGATTTTCGAAGAAAATCCTTTTACCCACTTGTTTAATTGATTTTCGTAGAAAATCCTTGTACCCACTTGAAAATTGATTTTCGAAGAAAATCCTTTTATCCATTTGTTTAATTGATTTTCGAAGAAAATCCTTGTACCCACTTGTTTAATTGATTTTCGAAGAAAATCCTTGTACCCACCTGAAAATTGATTTTCGGAGAAAATCCTTGTACCCACTTGAAAATTGATTTTCGAAGAAAATCCTTGTACCCACTTATTTAATTGATTTTCGAAGAAAATCCTTGTACCCACTTATTTAATTGATTTTCGAAGAAAATCCTTGTACCCACTTGTATAATTGAATTTCGAAGAAAATCCTTGTACCCACCTGAAAATTGATTTTCGGAGAAAATCCTTGTACCCGTTTTTGAAAGCTTTTATAGAGCTTTTTTGAAAGCTTTTGACCCCTCAAAAGAGCTTTTATGTTGTGGTCCCCACCCGAGAACCCCCGGTTCCCACGAGGCCCTCTAGTTTGACTGATTAATCAAAAAATATCAAATAAAAACAATTTAGGTTGAAGACAATTTTTTTTAAAAAAAAAGCTTTTTGTGCCCCGGGGTAAGTCGCCCCCCACCTAAAATCAACTGATAATGGTTCCAAGAAACATTAGAAACAATATAAAAGCGTTTAAAATGCATTTTAAAAAGTCGCCGCTAAAGTACATAATTACCTTTTATTCATTTCAGAGATCTTTTGGTCCAATACATTATACACTTCATCGTGATTTGATTCGTGGACATTAAGCCTTATTTTTCTCATCGCAAATTTTGAATTTTCCAGAATCAAGCAATGCCAATATTTTGATACTTTAAATATTCTAAAGATGTCATTGTAATTAAAATGCTGTATGATAAGTTGAATTGAATTGAATATATTTATTGGCCCTATCGGGCAGATAAAACTTAAATTAAACAAAGTTACATAAATGCTTATTTATAAAAATCAAACGTTATTTTCATGGATGTCATAGAATATAAACAGTGGATCCATGTTAATCTACTCGTAGTACTTAAAAGACTAAAATCGATTTTTATTGAAATCGAAAATTCTACTTAATTTTAATAAATTAAAGCAAATTTAAACAGTTATGTATAAATGAAGGTGCATTGTTGGGTCAAGGCAAAAAGAAAATTAATGCTCATTAATATTCGTTTTTTGAAGTACTTCCACATTTTATTTTGAACGAAAAATTTCTCCAAAAAGCATAAAACATCCAGAAGAGAGAATATTGACAGTCAATAAATGTTTATTAAAATTAAACGATTTCAATTTCTTATTTATTAATATATTTCGAAACTTCTGCAGCATTTTGTTGATTAAAATGTGTTCATTTATTGTTCGAGTGACTTGCTTTCCATACTTTGAAATTTTTAACAATTTACCGCATTTACAATATTTAAATTATAGATTTCATTAAGCTTTTGAGATTTTCGACGTAGCTTCAAGGAAGCATTCTCAAAAATTTCCATTCCATTTTGTTCCTTTATATTCTGTCTAGGTAGTGTTTTACGATTTTATATGATAGTACAGATTGCATGAAAAAAAAACAGCTTTCTATTACATTTAATTTAACTATCGCTGTAAATTTTTATTGAGAGATAAAGTGTATTTAATTAACAAGTCGTCTATAAAAGTTGTTAAATGTTTGCATGCTCATTCAGTACTTAAAATTTAATTATTCAGGGAGAGAAAAATCATTTGCGATTGAAAGATTCGAGTGATAAGTTGTCAAAAAGTACGTGATCATGGAAAGTCCGGAAATTGAAAGCAACAATAATAATCAAAGATCTAAGGATGAGAATAAAAAAGTGACATAACTTATGGAATTGATCAGGTACCTCGTTGGTATTTGTGCTTTTTTATGGCAATTCAGCACTATTTGACTATGATTGGTGCTGTAGTTGCAATTCCTTTTATTTTAACTCCTGCTTTGTGCATGGACGATTCAAATCCAGCAAGGGGAACCATAATATCCACTATGATATTTGTGACTGGATTAGTAACAATTTTTCAATCAACTTACGGAAAATATTCATTCATTCCTTCAATAAAACTGCAGAAACGGCATTGATTTCGTGCCAAAAAGCTGAAAAATACTTAAAGCTGACGAAATTTTTTCAGTAAAACTTTTTAACGGTATTTCCCCTTAATTCAAAAACAACGTGCTTTTGACTGGAATATCCAATAAACTTCCACTGGAAATTCCAAAGCTTTCCATTTTCCAGAGGTCCAGGATATCGATTTTTCATATAATTTTAAAAGGTTTCAAGCATTAACGTCGGTGAAAATTTTTCTCGTAATATTTTCGAGGAAAATCCAAGATTAATAGTTCAAATTTATAGAACTGATATCTGAAAGTTGTATTTAAGAGACGTAAGTAAAATTTCGACTTAAAAAATTGTTAAAATAAATTACAAAACCTACGATAAGTTCAGATAGGAAAGGTTGAGAAAAGCTCTAAAAACTCACAACTTTGAAGCACAAGACTAGGTGGGTGGAACAGCATTAAAAGTGAGGTGCGCGCTAAATTTGTAATTCCTTCTAGTAAAAAGTCTAATCAAATTAAAATTTATTAAATTAATCAATTTTTTTCTCATTTCTGCTCATTTATCATTCTTATTCTTTTCATTGGTTTTCGCAGCAAATTAAGTACATAATAAGTTGCATGTATGAGTAAAAAGCTTATATTCTGTGTATTGAGCTTTAGTATTAGTATGAGTAAAGATTTCCCTCAGTGGAAAAATAGCTTTCCACCAGCATTCCATTGCTTCCTTCCAAACTTCTTATGGACTTAATTTTGCTTTTGTATTGTCATTTAGGAATGTTTTGGTTGTATGCTAGATTTCCATTAACTCAGGCAAATATTGTTAATCGATTACACCAGAAGAATATAAACTGATTTCTTTTTGAAAAATAATTTAGAAGAGAGCAATAGAGAATTAGAAATATCATAGATTTATTGGCCGTATGCTAAACATGCGTCTTTTTACTGAAAGATTTAACTACAAAGTTTGATGATTCTAAAGTAATATTATGTTTTTGATTGAAATTATCTTAAAGTTTAAATTCATTTTAATATGCATAACTAGTTTACCAAAAAAAAACTGAATAGAAAAGAATGAAAGTTCATCAACCATCCATATCAGTAAAAAATAGCACTGAATTGTCATCAATTTCTCAAAAGTCATTATCTTTCAATTGTCTTTTATTCTCTTCTTTTTCATATTTATACAGACATGTCGATGTCTCGCTTAATAGATAATGCTTAAGTTACCAAAAGGCTTAAAGAAGAAGAAAAAAGGGAAAAAATCGAAGAAAGATCAAGAGCTTTTTACCGAAGAGGAATTAGAGCAATATAAAAGAGAACACCAATCACATCCGGCAGAAGTAAGTGAGGAGCAATATCCTGATAAGGCACAAGGCGGTGGTGATGATGACGAATGGTCCAAGTTTGCTGCGCTTACAACTGGTGTAGACTCAATTTTGAAGAAAACTCAAGGGGATTTAAATCGTATTAAGGAAACTTCGTTCTTTAAGCGCGTTCCACCCCCAAGTCAAAAGAAAAAGGAGGAAGAAGAAAAGAAAGCAGGAGAAGCTGTAGCTGCTTTTGAAGAACAAAGGCTAGCTAAAGAAGAAGAAAAGGACCCAGCAAAGGAATTATTGAAAGCAGTCGTTGAACTTTCAGAGTCTGAAGAAGAATCAGACGTCGACGACTCAGCTTTTGACACAACTTTTATTGAAAGAGTTGAAGCCGGTGAACTTCCATTAGCCTACGTTGAAGCTGAGGAAGAAGAACCAGATTTAGGACCAGATCCTTTTGATACTGGTTACGCAGAAAAAATAATCAAAGGACCTGAAGTCTCACAGCGAGGAAAACGACTTGTGAATATCGGAGCTGCCGTTGAAGTTCTAACAGGAAAAGTTGAAGCTTCAGTCTCTGCTTCAAAATCTCGTCGTCAACGTCGTGGAATTCAAAATTTATTACTTGAAAGTTTTGAATTAAATCAAGAAGAACACGAGGAAGCTACATTAAGAGACACTACATCTAAGACTTTATTAGATGAGCCAGCTGATTTAGCCGAAGACTTCCCTATCGATTTAAGTGTATCATTACATTTAGCATTTCAACCACCAAAACCATCAGTTGAGTGCGAAGAACTCGACAAAGATTTAGAAGAATTTGATATCATTAGAAAGGATGATAATAATATACGCAATACAGAAACAGTAAAAGAATCAGAAGAAACTGTTGATTGGTCTGAATTTGAACTTGAAAGAGGTATGAACTAATTTTAAAACTCAAAAAAAAAAAGCAAATTTCTCTAATTTATTCTTATTAAAACAGAAAAACCACTTCGTTCACCACCCCCGTCAAACCTTAAACAACAAATTTCCGACGAAGGATTTGAATTAACTGACGATCCATTTGATACAGCATATGTTGAGAAAATTGTTCCAAAGTCCATTGATTACGACGACGATTTTGATCCACGTGGAGCAGTAGAGGAAGAAGACGATTTTAATCCTCGTGCAGAGCAAGAGAACCTTTTCGATTCAAAAGGAAAGTCGTTAGAGAATACTGCAACTTTAAGATTAGTGAAAAACGATTTATTAAGTGCAAGTCATAGTGATCTTGCTAGTATTGCACCAACATTAGCTCCAACAGAAGATTCTGAGCCAGAAGAAGTTGATCCATTTGATACTTCAGCGGTAGACTCTCTTGTAGCCCCCGGGAAATTTGAATTAAAATATCTTGAAAGGGAATTACTTGATAGTGAAAAGAAAAAGGAATCACTTAGTGACGACGATTTCGATCCAAGAGCAGAAGAAGAACAAAAACCTTCTGCAGAATCTCTAAAACAAAGAAAATCTTCATTATCCTTGCATATTCCAGGATCTGGAAGTAAGCTTGTATCATTTATTATCTCATCACCTGATCTCTTGCACGTAGATTCTGAGACAAGTAGTAAGATCCAAAAACCATTGACACCATACTATCGTGAATCGGCTTTACCAACCGAAGACGAAGTTGCTGAAGAAGAAGATCCATTCGATACTTCATTTGTACCAGAAATTGCACCCACAAAAGTTGAATTAGATATAATCGAGAAGGAAATTTTAAAGGTTGAACATAAACCAACATTAAAACAAAGCTTATCAGATCCTGACTTTGATCCTCGAGCAATAACCCCGGAGCCACCAAAACAAGAATACAAACAGACAGATTTGTTTTTAACATCAGATACTCACGATATAAAGGTATTGACACCTGCTAAGGACAGTACACCAGAAGAGGTTGAAGTTGATCCTTTTGATACATCAATAGCAAATAATATTGTACCGGGAAGAACTGAGTTAAAGCTTTTAGAGGACGAATTGATTGAGAAAAAACCTGAGGCACTTCTCCCAACTGATATTCTATCTGATACTCAGGATAATTCAATTTACGTAAAAATCTTAACTCCCCAACCAACTGGATCATTAGATTTAGACAACGAAGAAGACTTTGATCCTTTTGATACGTCATTTGCCACCTCAAACTTAGCTCCAGGCGAAACAGAAATTAAACTAATTGAAAGCGAGCTTATTAATTAAATTAAGTGACCAATCAAGAGCATCATGGCTAATCCATTTTTGTTTATGGAAGAAGAAATAGCGGCTGTAGTAACCGCACCAAATGACGCATTTCAAAATCCATTTTTAGTTGAGGATGATGATGATGATGAAGTTGGTGATTTTTCAAATGAAAATCCATTTTCAGCATCTAATCCGTTTGCATTTAATGCTACTGATAATGATGCAAATAATATGTTTGCAAATAGCAATAATGCAACCGACATGTCTCAGTCTGGTGCCAATTTCTTTTTAACAGAAGATGATGATGAGGATGAAGAGATACAAATGCATGAACAAAATATGCAGCATCAGCCAGAAGATGTAGATCCAACAATGAGTTTTTTCGGAACAACAATCAATGAACAAGATGGATACTATCACAGTAATGATAACCAAGATTTAGTATCCAAAACAATGCCTCCACCAAGACCACCTCCTGCAACAACACAAGAAATGATTACCACCTTAACAGATCACTTAGACCAAACCAGTGAGAACTTGTTAAATAAACTTCCCTTAACTCGTAGTCCAAGTCCTATTTCGATGCGTGATTTACATTCCCCTTCTCCTACACCCGATATTGGAGATTTATTAGATGTTTCTGATGCTTTTGCAGCGGCAATGGAAGCTGAAGTACAAGCTCAAAATAATCAACAAGTTGTGAACAATCATCATAAAGAGGAAAATAAACCAAGTAGACCTCCACCTCCACCTAGACCAATTCCTCCACCTCGCCCAGCACTCCCGGTGACTGCATCAACACCTATACAAACTATAAATACTGCAACAAATTCACATCCCGTGCAGCATGTACATCCACAACAAGAAGATGATCTTTTTGATCTGTTTGGTACTGGTCACAAAAAACCACAGCCCCCTCCCAAGCCTCCTGCACCGAAAACAAAAGAAGATATTTTAAGTCTCTTCCAAGCACCAACACAACCAGTTCAAGAGCTTAAGAAGCAAGATTTATTAAGCGATGATATTGACTTCTCGCTTCAACAGCATGAACCAGAGCCAGAACCTCCTCAAGAAGTGAAGCAAAAAATTCAAACACCACCATCAAATGTCGCTGTTGTTCAGCCATTTGTTGATCAAGTGCCAAGTATTCCACAAGCTATTGTTGAACCTATGATTCATGAGCAAGATGAGACAGTGATTGAAGCAGTTAGTCAACTCAGTATTGAAAATCATATTCCACTGAGTCGGTCTATACCGACAATTACAGAAGATCTTACGGAAGACAGACCACAATCTGATTTTATGGACCCACCTGAAGATAATGTTCAGCCTACATCAGAATTGTCATCAGATCATAGCCCGACAGAATCGGGAATAACATCAGGAGGAATTCCTGCATCAGCATCAGGCAGTATTTTAAATATGACAATGCCAGAAATGGAAGAAACAAATGACATTCAAACGGAACCACAACAAGTGATTGATGCAAATCCATTTGCAATTGACAATACACCAACACCTCAAAATGAGCAGCTACAATTTCTTACCCAAAAGTCAGTTAACTTTGAAACTCAAAGACCCACAACGCCTGATCCAATTGTTGCTCAACCTGAACTCGCACCAATATTTAATGTCGATCCTACTCCTCATGTCACAAAGCCTTCTAAACCACCACCGCCAATTCGAGGCAGTAGTGTTCTAACAACCGTTCAACAATCAGTTCCAATGCAACAATATCATCATGTTTCTAATCCTATCATTCCAGAAGAAGAAAATGTTGATGAGTTTGATGATTTCGCAGTAAAATTCGAAAGCACTGGTCAAGTGAAAAACACAGGAAATGCTTTTCTTGATAGTTTGGCAGTTGAAAGTACTGGCGATGCATGGGGTGATACATCGGATGCTTTTGGAGGGGCTGTAACAGTAATCACAAGTGATGGATTTGGAAATGAAGATGGTTTCGATAGTTGGGATGCTCCAGTTGCACCCGAAAGCACACCATATGCACAACGTAAATTGTCTTCTGGTTCAATCGATGAAAAAGACTTGAGTGTTACAATTAAACCAAAAACAGATTTTGATTATGTGACTGCACCAGCATTAGCACCACCGCCGCAGTCTAAATCTCCATATTCTGGATCTGTTTATTCTGAAGGTATAAGCTCATGAATTTAATTATTGTAGTCTCTAAAATGTTAATACTTTCTTGTACAGATTCGTCTCCTCGTGTTAATCCATTTGATAAAGGATTTGATGAGTCTGAATGTACATCTCCAAGTAAGTTTATGCCTTAAAAAAATATGTTTGAGTTTCTTCAAATTAATTGTTCAAATTTCCTCAGAAATGTCAGAACGGAGAGATTCACAAGACTCAGGACCAGGAACACCACTTTTTGATGATGACGTTTCACAACCACTTGAAGATTTTCCAAGAATATTTTATACTGGTCCTGGCTGGGAGATGCAATTAAGGCAGCCAAACAAAAAGAAAATCACTGGACAGAGATTTTGGAAAAAAATCTTCATTCGATTGGTTTATCAAGGCGATAATCCAGTGGTGCAGCTTTTAAATAAGGACACTTGTGATTGAGTAACAAATCGATAATTTTCTTTTAACACTTATTTCACTTTATTGGGTTCCACTAATTAAACCATAAGGGGAGGTTTTAGAAAAATTGTAACAAGACGTGTTAACTCGATCACGATACGAAGGGAAAGAACTTTTTACTTCTAATTGCTTGGTATTTCTCAAGCTCAAAAAAGATGCGAAACTTCTAATCGTAAATGATCGTTACAAATGTGTATATATTACTTAAAGATTCCTTTTGCTATCAATAATTACTTATAAATATGCATGAAATATGCATGTACATTGTAAATTTAATATAGCACTAAAAGAATTACTATTTTACTTTAAACTCTTGAAATTAACTGTTGATTTTATATAATTCTGTCGTTCGCTTAACGACATCCTCGCGCGCCCCAGAAGATCACTTGTCCTGTGGCTTTGAAAGTATTTCATCTTCGTCTAGTTGTACCTCCTTGTTGGTTACTGAACTGTTCTCTTCATCTGATGACGATGAACTTGAAGACGAATCGCTGCTTTGTTTCGGCTTCTTCTTCGGTTTGCTGTAATTGTATTCACTCTTACCACGATGAAGAGTGATATGATGTTTTGCTGAACATCTTGTAGATTTATCTACTTTAAATCCACAACTTCGTTTGACATCACAATCCTTTGCAAAATGCTGCGTTGATAATAAGCAGTTTATGCATAAATGTTTAGTCCTAACGGTGTTATACCTTTCATCCATTTTCATTTCACGATAAGTCTTGCACTCTACAGTGTAATGATTGGTACCTGAGCAAATTTCACACTTCTTTGGAATTTGCTTCACTTTCTCTAAGTTGTATCCTAAGTATGTTGCTGTCTGATTATCTCTGATCTCGTATTTGTAGTCATCTGAATTATATGACGAACCTTTGAATGTGTTGTTGCTGCATGATGCTGTCATCATTTGATAATCCTTCTCTTTATTCTTGCTTCCTTTATCATCCTCAAATTTGAACTGTCCTAACGGAAGTGTTTTTGAAAGATTGTTCAAAAACTCAAACTGAACGTCCAATCGTTCCATTCTTGTAATGGCCTTTGGATTCTTTTCATAAAAGAATTTGTAATATAACTCTTGATGATACGGTTCAAGCTGCATGTGAAGTTTTGATGAAATGCTTGTGTCTGCTATTGTTATTCCAGCATAACTGCATGCTGCCATAAAGTTTGCTATTCTTGTTGTTACTTCAACACATGATGCATGAGTTAAGGGTTTGGATAATTTAGCACTCATCAACTTTGAGCGAGCACTCTCTACAACAATCGATGCATTCCCAAAACTATCCTTCAAATAATCCATAAGTCTCTGTGATGACATATTCAGATATAAACTATCAACACGTGCTAGGGCTTGTCCCGTTAATGCTTGTCTGATGTGAGACTTTATTTGGTCATCAGTATATTCTCCTTCTTTCCAGTTCCTCATAACTGCTCTTTCAAACGTCAACCATCTTTCAGGATTTCCGTCAAACTTTTCAATCTTTGGTAAGTTACGACGAATTTCATTCAACGACAGCTTGTTGAGCTGCCTCAAAGTTGTTTCAATGTGACTCTCATTGTCACTTATTTCCGGTGGATGTGATGAAGGTTTCTGAATTGCTTCGTTGCTAGTTGATCCTCCAATCATTTCCTCAATTACTTGACTTGATCTTTTAATTTCATCATCAATGCGCGTAGATGCTATATTTGCATTTAACACCGCATTTGTGAATGAGGCATATTGTGGCCTTAATGACTCTGCTGTACCTTGTGCGATTCCACTTGGACTTGTTCCAAGCGCACCTGCATTTTGTGATGACTTTAGTAATCCCATTATTTGAGTAAGTTGATCTGACTGCGCTATTACCAGATTCCTTAATTCCTTGTTGGACTTCTTAATGGACTTATATTTCCTTTGTAACTTGCTTACATCGGTCCTCAGATTTTTTGATACTACGCTACCATTAGCATCAATATGTACAGTCCCTTCAACATATTCATCAGCACTTGAATCTGATGACTCTCCTTTGTGTACATTGACTTTGATATAGCATTTGATTCTCTCATCAAATGACAATGTATGAGTTCCTGCGCTGACTAAGCCTTGTGCGTCAGCATTCATGGGATTCCTCAAACATTTCGCACACATCCATGGAAGTTGTTGTTCAGTTACAGCAGCAAAATCAGTTCCGGAACAGCGTAAGTGATAAACATTATCACACGTTATGCATAGCACCATCTTTTGTAAATCCTCATATTCACGTTCAGATTGCTGGGCCGCGAACCATTTGCAGTCATTATCTAAACCGCATCTAGCATTTTCTCTCATTAATTGAATGCAGAAAATATAATTGTTTACGACTTTGCTCGTCGCATATTTTGCACGATACTGTGCCTTAGCATCAGGAACACTGATAAAATGTTGAGCTAAACTTCCGAGTTCTTCAGCACTTGTCATGATGCTTGATGTTCTGATGTCTATTTAATGTAACTTTTATAATCTTAAAGTGACTTGTTCACTTTTGCAAATTTGTATTGCGTTTCACAAACGACTTGATGACTATTTGCTACTTGTTAGCAATAAATGATAAGATGATGATACAATTAACGTATTGCCGTCCTCAAATGCTTCCCTTCTACTTGAATTGATGCACTTTTATCTTAAGTGACTAATTGTTGCACTTGATATAGTGACTTCTAATGTTTCACCTTCTTGATGACTATTTGATGCGCCTTTCTTCTGACGACTTGAATGTTGCACTCTTGTAGTGACTAACTGATGCGTCCTTTGCTCGACGACTTAACTTGTTGCACCCTTTCGATGCCTAGCTGATGCACTTATCTCACAAGTGACTGACGATGCGTCTTTTGCTCGACGACTTCCTTGATGTCCAAACTGATTGTTTGGTGCCTGTTGTATGGCGGTAAGTCACCTCTTGTTTGGTGACTATAAATTTGAGTAAATTCGATGCAAATTTTGCCACTTGATTGGCTTGAAATGTGCCTCTTGATTGGCTTGCTGACCAGAAATTGATTGCCTCTGTAGCCTTGAACTTGATTGATTTGTTACTTGACAACAAATCAATATGAATGCACGAGGAAGAGAAAAACAAACAAAATGGTTAACTATTCTATTGTACTTACTACAGAGGTTACTGGATGTTGATTTCTGGCCAACTTATTCAATATAATGTGCTCTATTATGCTTCTGGATGTCGAATAATGCTCAATATGACGTCAAAGTAGAAAAGATTAACTTTTTGATGCCGAAATTATATCGCGTGACTTTTGCGAGACTAAATACGCGAGACTTCCACGTGTTTTATTCAAACTTAATCAATTTCCACTTATTCAACAGTTACAGCACTAAAATAACTAATTAATAGCCAATTCAAAGCTCTAAAGCATTAGCTTTCTTTTAATTTCTCAAATTAAGGTTAAGGACTAAATTTTTCTCAAATTTGTAAATTTTTCTAAAAGATGTGATTGAGTAACAAATCGATAATTTTCTTTTAACACTTATTTCACTTTATTGGGTTCCACTAATTAAACCATAAGGGGAGGTTTTAGAAAAATTGTAACAAGACGTGTTAACTCGATCACGATACGAAGGGAAAGAACTTTTTACTTCTAATTGCTTGGTATTTCTCAAGCTCAAAAAAGATGCGAAACTTCTAATCGTAAATGATCGTTACAAATGTGTATATATTACTTAAAGATTCCTTTTGCTATCAATAATTACTTATAAATATGCATGAAATATGCATGTACATTGTAAATTTAATATAGCACTAAAAGAATTACTATTTTACTTTAAACTCTTGAAATTAACTGTTGATTTTATATAATTCTGTCGTTCGCTTAACGACAGACACTGACAAGGAACCTTTCCAAGAACTTCCATTACAAGCATGTTACTCAGTATCAGAAATTGCTGCACAACAATTTGATAATTTTGGTAAAATTTTCACAATGAAACTTCAATACATTTTCTATAAAGAACGAGCTGGAATTAGACCTGGTCAAGTAACAAAAGCTGAAAGGATTACAAATAAAATTGGTTTGTTTGCTAAATATGCGATTGATGGTGACTTTCAAGGTGTAAAAGAATTCGGAAGTGATTTGAAAAAGTTAGGTTTACCAGTTGAGCATGCACCGCAAATATCTGAACTTTTAAAGCTCGGTTCAATGTGTTTTGAAGATATGAAACAGTTTTCAATGTGCATTGAAGAAGCATTATTTAAATTAAATGTTCATCGAGATCGTGCTTTGACATATAAAATGGAAGAAGTTCAAGTGACAACCGTCGATGAGATTTATGTGGAACAGAATGCGGAAGGACATATCGAGAAGCAAATTGCTCGTGTCAGATTATTTTTCCTTGGATTTCTCACTGGCATGCCACTCATTGAGTTAGGCTTAAATGATATGATAAGACAAGGAAAAGAAGTTGTAGGAAGACATGATATTATACCAGTTGCAACAGAAGAGTGGATACGACTGGAGGGTGTTGAGTTTCATGCATGTGTGCAACAAGATCAATATGAACGTTTAAGAACGATTAGATTCAAGCCACCGGATGCGTGCTATATTGAATTAATGAGATTTCGTGTTCGACCTCCAAAAAATCGTGAATTGCCTTTACAATTGAAAGCAACATGGGTAGTTACAGGAAATAAAGTGCAACTTAGAGCTGATGTACTTGTGCCTGGATTTACGTCTCGTAAATTGGGACAGATTCCTTGTGAAGACGTTTCCATTCGTTTTCCAATACCTGAATGCTGGATTTATCTGTTTCGTGTAGAAAAACATTTCCGATATGGATCAGTTAAGTCAACGCATCGTCGAACTGGAAAAATAAAGGGCATTGAAAGATTTTTAGGAACCGTAGAAACACTTCAAGAATCATTGATTGAAGTAACTTCGGGCCAGGCAAAATATGAACATCATCATCGAGCTATTGTATGGAGATGCCCGAGATTACCAAAGGAAGGTCAAGGTAAGGGATATGAAAGATATTCAATATTTGATTATTATAATGTTAAATGTATTCCCACAGGAGCTTACACAACACATCAGCTTATTTGTCGATTAGCACTTACAAGCTTTGACCAAATTCCCGATCAGCTTGCACCATACGCATATGTAGAGTTTACAATGCCTGCTACACAAGTATCACATACCACATGTCGATCGGTTAGTGTACAAGAATCTGATAGTGATGATCCACCAGAGAAATATGTTCGTTATCTTGCACGACATGAGTATAGGTTAGTAATAAAACTTGGTTGAGTTAGTTTAATTAATTAATTATTAATTTTTCATGGTATTCACAGAGTGGGAATTGAGCATACAATGGGAGAAAGTCAAAATGCCTACTTAGCAGCAACAACTGTAAAAAAGCAAACAATTCGTGAAGAACCAGCAGCACCAACACCAATGGCAACACATAGTGATTCTGATTCAGACTCAAACTAAATAGTAGTCGTCTTACTATATGGTAAATATGAAATTTGCCTCTAAGTTTACCGATAAAATTCGATTATATAGTAGAAAAAAAATATAAATAAGTTAAACTTTATAAAGACTATAAACATTAGTGAGAAAAACAACCCTTTGTGCTTGAAATATAATCAAGATTTTTGAAAACTTTAAACCATTCACTACTGAACTGTCTCGCTGTAAAGTAATATGTAATATGAACGAGAGAAAAAAAAAGTTTTGTTTAGAAAAGCTCTTCAAAATCGAATTGGCCCGATTTGGCTTAAAGTATTATTTGAAATGATTCTGGAAACTTTAAAATGAAGATAATCTTACATAATTATATTTAAAAATCAATAAAATGAGAAAGTTCTGCTTGTATATACACAAGTAGGTGGAAATGCTAATGTAACTAAATGCTTATGCACTCATACTAAATTTATAATGTTGCAAAATCAATAACCATAAAGAATGGAAATAGAAAAAAAACGAAGATGATTTGGATTTTGAAAATATTATCTACCTATATGACGCTTCTAATTTTAAGTTGCTTTATCAGACGAAAAACTACACACTTTTAGTTTTCTAATTGTGTGTCCCAATTGAATATTTTAAAAAACACCACAATTCTCAAGTATAAATTCCTCTAAAGCTATGAAATCAATAGCTGTATGTCATTGACTGAAAACGTGTCAATATTTTAGTAAAATCCGTAAAATCTATAAAGTTTTAAAAATATGTAAGGCACTAGTCTGATGTTATGATCCCATAAGTCGTAATATCTCGTTGAACTTGCTTGTAATGCTCATAATGTCATGAGAGTCCTGAATGAAGATCCATCTCTTCAAGATTTGACCAAAAACTTAAAAATTAATATGAATTTGTATGAACAAGATTAGGGATGAATCTTAGTTTAAAATATACAATCTTTAATCAGAACTACTCCTGTTATTTGAACAACTAAGAAAAATGCTATGAATTTGAAAAGTTTGCAATAATCTAGTGCTTACAATAAAAAAGCATTGACGTAAGAGTTTGTTGGCAGGTGTGGTCTTGATTTATTGTGATAGCTTTATGTTTCGAGCAGCAATTGAACTTTAAAATTTCAAAGGAAATACATTTTACGACACTCAAAAAGTATTCAAGATTCAAAGTATTAGAATATTCAAAAAAAAAATTAATCTTCATGTACCCATTCATCATGACATAAATTATTAGTAAGAATCGTCTTTAAAATAGTAATACATAAAATTATCTATACTATAAAAGTATTTCAGCAAAAATCATAAGCATCATCATGAAAGAAAAAATTATGCGTGATATCAAAATGATGAGTCTGTGTTTTCTTGGGTTTGGTTAATTAAAATTGATTGAATTAATTTGGCAAAGTAAGATGTAATTGACGTAATTTGTTTGAGTTCATGTAACCAAATTTAATTGAACACAAACTCGATTAAGAATCTTAGAGATGAGAAATAACTAAATGGTGAGAAGAAGTCCTTAAACTATAAGTAAAACTCAAAAATACTTAAGGTTATTAAGTTATCTTATGAGAATAGTTAAAGTGTAATTAATTCATTTTGAATCAAATAAACAATTTGTTGCTAAAAATAAAGGCATTGACAGTTCCGTGTTTTGCATGGGATCAAGAAAAATATAATTTTCTTGTAATTTACATAGGAAGTTTAAATTTACTGTTCAGGAAAGCAATTTATTTATATAGTAACACAATCCACGATCTTAATTGCTTCATATACTTAACCACCCTGCTTTATTTAAAATAATGTTAATTTCTAAACATAATGAAACAGCGATTAACGATGGAATAAAATGTATTTGTAGATGTTTATGTATGTCGATGAAATACTAAGAAAAAAGTTCGCTATTTATAACAAAATTAGTTTTGACAATAAATACTATGTAGCGATAATCTCGTACTATTATTATTACTCTAACCCTATTTCACACTATTATCAGTATTTTGTTGTTGATGTGATAATGATAAATAAGTAAAAACACAGTTGGTAAAGGGATTTTGTTAACATTTGAGAAGATTGATATACGACTGGGTATTGTGCTAATAATTTTTATTTCTTCAAAATAATACTGAAGATTAAGTATGCTTTTAGTTTATAAATACTACGTATTTTGGGCATCTTAAGTTCTGCAGAAATTCCTTAAATATCCCCATACGTCAAGTAAACAAAAACCAAACAGATGTTCGAAAATCACATAATAAAATGAGAAATGTTTCTTTTCGTTGTTCAGACTAAGAAAAAAAATTATTATTATAAAAATGCTGTTGATTTTTTTGACTGTATTTCTTAGCTACATCATAGAAAATAAATGCAATAATATCGTTAAAAAATACGAGAGACAAGATAAATCATCGTCATATTTATTATCATAAATACCTACATTGCAAGACATAAGAATAAAATAAAGAATATTTAAGAGAGTACATATGATATATACATTAAAATAAATGCATTAACATTATAATTATCTAAGTTTGAAATATATTTAATTTCTTAATGTTAATAAATAAAAAAGAATTAAATAGAAAAAAGAATAATAATCGACATTTAATCAAGTAAACAAAATATTTACGACAAAAAGTTTTGAAATTTATGAATGTCTTATGTTGTGTGAGTACGTGATCTATATAATTTATAAAGGAGCGGTTCGCTTGGTATAACGTTGTTAATAAAAGGAACGAAATGACTCATGTCAAATGCGTTGCTAGAGAATCAAACAAAAAAATGCTATTTGAGGTAAAATTGGAAAGCTCTTAAGCTCAAATCATGGTGAATTGAAAGATTTTGCTAGTTGAGAACCGTTGAGAATAGTTTAAAGTCACGACTTTAATTGTAGAATTTATTTATTCGAATTCAAAGTTACAATAAATAGTTGTAGCCATGCAATGAATTAGCAAGTTAAAGGAAGCAGTGCATAATAGTCTTGACAGGCAACCAAGTGCACGAACGTTGGAGAATTGAAAATGTTTCAACTAGAATTCATGAAATAGAGCAGTGAAACAACTAGGCAATATTCTAGTATTACATTATTAATAGCCCAACTACGACTTTAGAAGGAAGAAATCTTAATTTTCAGCAAGGAAAATCCAGCTATAATTTGAATTTGTTTTGGAATTGAGGCTATCATTTTAGATTTTGTTGACCAGAAAAAAAATATTATAGTTTTTGCTCATTGGAATTAAGATTCACATCCAAAATGAATTAATCCTAATTTATATACTCAATGAATCCTCAACTAACAAATTCTTGTACCAAACCCTTTCGACTTGATAAAATCTCATCAAACATATTATCATTAATCATAAGAGCATAAGAAATGTTAAAAATGTATTTAAAAATGAAAACTTAAAAAGAATGCAAAATTAGAAAATGGTATAACTTTATGAATAAAAATTATTAATTAATATGAAGACAGTTTAAATGAATAAATAAAGAAAAAACTATTTGCCCAGAATAAATGAGAACCTATGAGAAGTGAAAATAAAGAAAATTAAATGAAATTAATCACAACGTGTTTTTCAATTATGTATACTGAATAATCATTGTCAATTATGTATATTTCGTTTAGGATGAAGCATCAATTAGAGATTTATTGCCATTAATTCATCAAAACTTCAAGCACATCTGATATTTGGTAATAAAAGTAATGCAATGAATATTTAGGTTAATAGACAAGTCGAAGTAGAAAAAAGCGATGCAATTTTTGAATATTTCATTCAATACTACATACATAAACAATCATTTGTCTTTGAAATTTGTCCAATTTATGAAAGTTTCAATTAGGTTTTGAATAAAATGTCAAAGATGTTTTCAATGTCATTTTCGCATGACATATAGGAGCTTCTTCTTTTACAATGTACAATTATTTTTGGCATACTATTTCTCAAGTATAAATTTGCAAATGATTTATTAACAATGAATCGATGTTCTTTTTTGCAATAAAATTGTTTTCGAAACAAAAAGTCTGGTAGCCTACAAGTCTATTTTTGTGTTCTGACGCAGAACATTTGGATTGATGATTTTAATTTTTTGTGTACACATTTCTTAAAGACTATACTTCAAGCATTACTTGAATATTGACTACGGCAGCGCTAGTAAAAATGTATTTTTCGGTCATTTGTACTTAATTAATAAAGAATTGATGCAGCAATTATATACAAAAAATGGGGACAGCCCTTATAATAAAGAAATTGCGTTAGAATAATCTATAAAAAAGAACTATAGTAAAATCAATTCTCTACTCACCTTTTGTCATATGTTTTAAAAACACATGAAATTTTGCACAGTTCTCCAATTCATATGATATTTCTTTGAAAATGACGTTTAATGATTTGTTTCTAGGAGCTCATTGGTATCGAAAAATATATTTCAACGGCAAATCGACAAGCCAAAGTATAAAATAATTTGATGAAACACGTTGCTGCAATCATCGCACCATTAAAGGACATCAATCAAAAATATTTATGTTTAACTGATTGATTATTTCAGCTTTAAGTAAACACCACAGGTAAAATTTTATTTTTTTTTTGGTTTATTGAATGCTCACAAGATACACATGTTAATTGCATCTTAAATTGATTTAAAACGATATTAATCATGAAGAAATTGTATGCTATTCAAGAAGGTCATTGGTTGGTATTTCAAATAAATGATAAATGATTCGATTTAAGGCAGTGATTATTGCACTTAATAAGCATTCGTGGAAGTTTGATTAATTGTTTACTGACAGAAGTATGCTACGCAGAAGAGCATAGAATGTATCACAATACTGTTAAAATTTAAAATTTAAATCCAATGATTGCAAGAATTTACAGGAAGTTCTTCCTTCTATAGGAATATTTTCAAAGTTCCAGCTAAAGACCTGAAAAGACTTTAAATGCAAAAGTTAAAAAATTGTCTCTTTTGGAATGAATTCTTTAATTCCAAGCTTATTAAAATGTAGACTGGAATTCTATGGTACATTGTATAAACTGAATTAAATTTACAATGAGTCGTGTAATTGACCCATTAAAAGGTGTTAAACTTTACAACTTAACCTTGCAACGCCTCATCATCAAATTTTATATCATTCATAAAATGCAAGAAGAAATTTTTGAGTGAAATATTCCCATAATATAAAATTCAAAAGTTGTTTCCTCTGAAGGTTTGAATAAACACTAATCTCCGTCATCTGATCTTAAACTCTATACATTTATTCAAAAAATGATGCATTCATTAATGAATTACGAGAAAAAAAGATGAATGAATAACCGCATATTGTGAGTTACGTAGTTTTTCATTACACAACTGATTAGTTTGAGCCACAAGTTTAAATTACACGAAGAAAAATTAAGAGTAGCAACTTAATCATATTTTGGATATAAGTTGGCCCTTCCAAGACAACACAAAAATAACGCCGTGAATTATTCACAACTTTTTTTTTTCACAAAATTTGAGATGAGGCACTTAGCATTCCAGTTTGCAAAGCTCTTTTGTATTTTATAGTTCCGAGCAGTTTAGAAAATTTGCTTAATTGTTAAAATCACATTGAAGAGTAAAGAGCTCATATTTATTTCTGAAGTTCTGTTTACGTTCTTGGTTTGTTGTTAGACATAGAATTTTTTGCAATATGTTTAATAACGAGGACAGAATTTCGCGTGTTTTTGAAGGTCATCATGTCTTTGTTACTGGAGGTAAGGAACTAGAATTGTTTTAAAAAAGAGATGCAGTGTTATGGCTATAAAAAATATCAACTGATTTTCAAATGACAACTCTAAAAGAGTGCTTAATTATGAATTTATTAATTTGTGAAGTGCCTAATAGAGTTGCTTTTTGGCATTAGTGTTGTGAATTATCAATCATTTGTATCCTTAGCAACTGGCTTTATGGGCAAAGTATTTCTCGAGCGACTCTTAAGAGCAACAGAGATAGCAAAAGTTTACATCCTAATTAGACCAAAAAGAGGAAAGGCATCAAAAGAAAGACTCGTTGAAATTTTAGACAATTTGGTATGCATTCAATTCTTTCGCAAAACAAACAGATTATTCAATAATACCTTATTCTTAAAGCTGTTTAACACATTACGACAAAGCAGAAATTATGTGGAACATATAAAAAAAATAAAAATAGTTGATGGTGATTGCTCGATGGAAGAATTAGGAATGCATGCTGAAATTAGAAAGGAACTTAGTGAAAAATTAACAATGATTTTTCATTTTGCCGCGACGACAAGATTTGATGAGAAATTGAAGTCGGCAATAAACCTCAATTTACGTGGAACATTGGAGATGATTAAACTCACTCGTGAATGTAAAAACATAAATTTATTTTGTCACATATCTACAGCGTATTGCCATCTTCATGAATCAAATTTACTTGAAATATCTTATCCATCAAATGTGAATCCACATGAGTTAATGAGCATTGTTGATCGATTAACGGAAAGTGAAGCAGAACTCATTAAAAATGAATATTTGAACAAATTCATTCCAAACACTTATGTGCTTACGAAATCACTTGCTGAGGCAATTGTTGTCGAAGCACTTGAAACTCATAAATTACCTGTTATGATCGTACGGCCGTCAATAATTACACCAACACTCTCCGATCCACAACCTGGTTGGGTAAACGACTATAATGGACTTGGTGGACTTTTAATAGGAATTGGAACTGGTGTTCTTCGCAGTATTCATTGTAATGATAAGTATCATGGAGATTTTATACCGGTTGATGTCGCGATTCATGGTATCATGATGTGTACATGGAATTATTTGGCGCTGATGTAAGTTTTTGTTGAAAATTTCCTGGATTAAGTGGTACTTTTGGTTTTATTATTTTAAAAAGATTTGCAATTGATAAAGTTCGGCACAAGATAAATTAAAATGAAATCTTTTAAATACTTATCCAAATATTCATCATTAACAACGAATGTTTAATATAGGAATCAAGAGAAATATATCTTTAACTTCACAACATCGAATGAGATTGTTATGTCTTGGGGACAAATTTTATCAAAAGGTTTAGTCATTTGTATCGACAAATATCCAATGAACAAAGCTGTTTGGTAAGATTACCGCATTCATTATTAAGATTCTTTTGCTGTAATTAGTTTTGACATGTAGGTTTCCAAACCTCACATTGACGAAGTATCGATGGCTCCACAAAACAAGATGTCTATTCTACCATTGGATACCAGCCGTTATAATTGATTCTGTGCTCTTTTGTGTCAGAATTAAACCATTGTAAATAATTTTATAGCTATTAAATTTTCAGCATAAATTGAATTTATAAATATAAACAATTTTAGTCTATGGCTTGTTCAAAAGAAAATATCAAGAGGAACTAAAACGATTGAAATATTTGCAAACAACCAATGGACTTTTGACAACTCGAATGTCATTCAAATAAGATCGAAGATGAATGAATTTGAGCTGATGAAGTATAAAGTTTCTTCAGATGGAATAGATATTGAAAAATATATGGAAGATTGTCTTTTAGGTGGACATAGGTACAAGGCCTTACTATAAAAAGTATTGAGTAATTCAGTAAAATATATTTTTATTTAAGATTTTTATTAAAAGACGGAAGCAAATACGAAGATTTCGATAGTGGAAGAAGAACTATGAGAATTGTAAGTGCTTTTGATCATATTTTTAAGTTAAATTTTTGACATGTGCTTCTTAATTTTTAGCTTTTTATCGTTGACAGATTATTGAAGTTGATAGTTCTTGGTGCTATACTTTATGGGTTATTGTCTATAATTTTGTCAATCTTTTCATAACTTCAGTTTTCCTGAACAGTACCTAATAATTTCTAATTTCTACCAACAATTGATTTTGGTTTTTCATGCATTGGAGATGGCATACTACTTGATGATGATTGTTGTGATGCATAAGCTGATCCTGTATGTGATCCCTGTGAACTTCCAGCTGAGAGATCTGCAGCTCCTTGAGAACTGCCACCAGATGACCCAAGTGAGGAATTCAATATCAAATTTGTGATGCCACCAACAACTGATGAAATTATATTAGATAGAAACTCAAAAATATAATTTTTATGGCTTGATGGCTCATTAGTTCCACGTTTCTGTTTAGACTGATCGAATCCTTTCAAAAAATTCTCAAAGAAAATTTTCGGCTTTGGTGGGGCATCATCTTCTTCTGGGTCCTTCAAAAAATATATTTAATTTAATTTCGACATGTTTAATTAAGTAGAAAATACGTGGAAGTTCCTTGAACAGTTTAAAATTGTAATTTTTTGTTTATAGATCATTGAAAAATCAATTATAATAATTGAGAAGAAAAGTTTAATATTTTGGAATAAAGAAATGTAATTACCGCACTTAACTGAGCAAATAATGTTCCGACAAAGTTACCGAAAAATGCTCCGTTGTTGTCCTTGAAATCAACAAAACTGTATTTATTACTTTTTCATAAATATTTCATTATTTTACTTACAGCACCGCCACCTTCAGAGAACCCTAAAAATGGAATTGACTTTAAAAAAATTATAAATTCAAAATAAAATATTCAACCTTCTACTGCAATTCCGAGATATGTAGCTAGAACTTTTCCAAAGTTATCATCTCCACCCAGTAATCCAGCTAGTAGCGAAGTGCCTGTGCTAATCAATGATGGCACATCTAATCCACCTGGCTGCAAAATTGCATAATTCAAGATTATTAAGACAGTTCACAGAGTTATGAAATTCAAATTATTTACACCAAACAAGCTAGTGACAACTCCAGATAGTGCTCCGACTAAAGCGCCGACGTCTGACCCTAAAATTCAAAGATATTATAAAATATAATAAATTCAATCAAACAGGTTTCATGCTTGCCTTCTTCACCACCACTTAAACCAGCAATTAAACCAGCGAGCCCACCTCCACCGATCGGAGGATCAAGTCCATCACCAAATTCTTCTTCTTCATCATTTTCACCTTCGACCTTTTCATTATCATTTGGAATGTCACCACCAATGGTATTGCCAGTTGCATCATTACCGTTCTGCCTACGAAAGCGATAAAAACTTTCTAAGTTTCTTTGGTGAACTGGCCAAATGGGCATGCGAATGTACAAAAGTGGCAAATTATATGTCTCATGTTCAAAAATATCTTTCGCATGAGAATCCAATGACGATGTAATACTTGACGGTGTGGAACTGATTTCCGACTTTTTCTTTGGCTGCTGCATATGAGTAATTGTTTCGTGGACTGTCGCATTCATAGTTTTACGTAAAAATAGTAGATGATTGTTAACATCGTTTTGGGCTTGCTTCATTAACTCCTTCTTATCTCTTGGAATAATCTTTTGTGGCTGCGACATGTCCGACTTTGAAATATCTTTGGAAACTTTATTTAGGGCTTGTCGGTAGTCTTTAATTATCTTTGTATCCATTGCAACATTCATAGCTCTCGTGAGAATTTCCATTGCTTTTTTATCTCGCTCAATTGTATCTTCAATTTTTTGAAACTTTTCAATCGCTTGACGCATATTTGATCCTTGGATGGTCTTAATGAACTCGTGTATTAATATTAAAATATTTGTTTCCATTTTTCTCGCCGTTTTTGCTGTTCCCATAAATATTCCCATAGTAGCTGCACGTTTTATGTTCTTTTGTAAATTTGTCATTAAATCTTTTACATTTGAAGCATTTTGAATTTTCTGTAAGATCTCACTGACATTAGGACTTGAATTTTTCACTCTTGCACTAAAAATAATCACTGTAAGTGCACTGAGCACATGAAAATAAATGTAAAGTTTCATTTTCAAATGAAAACTGAAGAGTTTTAAGTCATTGATGGTACTTTTATAAAGCACATTTAATTAAGGGTTTTCAAACATGTTGCAAGCTTTCATCAGTGCAATGCACAAGTGCACTTTGTGACTCGTTTAAAAAATTCACATTTCGTGCCTGAATTGATGTAAGAATTATGCAAATTTGTTTGAATAATAATTTAATGAGTTTTGTTTATTTCCGATTTTCTTTTGGTGCACAAAATTCAATATAGCATATTTTTGAGACTACGGAATTTATATTTTTGTCGTCTTCATCAGTAGTGTGTTATTCTCTAACCATCATAAGAGCCAAGGAATCGTTTACAATTAGGGCAATAACTGAAACAACAATGAGATAATGATAAATACTGCTGAATAACTATTTAATAATCAATGACTTACTGATGCTGTGACTGACATGTATTGCAAAAGTAGGGGATTAAGCAACAACAAAAACTTAAAAGAAGAACAGCAGTGATGTGAGTTTTTGCATTTGGTATATTTTTAATTTCAGTTGAAATGTCAGCTTTGCACGATGGACAATTCATTCGAAAGGTGTCGGGTCCATAAATTATTTGTGATTGTTGAATCATCACTGTCTGCACTCCTGTAATTTGATGATATTTTATTTTTATTTCAAACGACTCCTAGACATCAAATGGCTCTTTGACTGATCTTTTGTCTGCAAACTTAACTATTTCCTATTCATTTGCAGACAAGTTAATGCAGATTGGACCAATTAAGTTGAATTTTTTAATGATGCACAATTTATTTCTGGATCTTATTTGCTGAGTCAACAAAATATGTAAGGAACTTACCAGTTTGATGTGATACTGAATAAATTTTTTGTTGCTCTACCTGTTGTGTCATGTCTGGATTATATGCAGGTGGCGGAAGGAAGGAAGTAGTTGGAAATATGATCGAAGGGTCATATTCATTGAATTTTGCCTTTTTATTGTGTTTATCTTGATTTAAAATGTATATTTTCTGTACATGCTTCTGAACTGAGTCACATGAGATATCTTACCCATTTTTGTAACAAATTTCAGCTGTAAAGTTCACTCAAAAAAAATGTTTTGCCTCCATGAATTACAATATAAGACTGATGCAGAATAAAACAAAAAACGGAATACAGACACTTCCTTTGTTTAACTCTCAGCTGTTATTTTATTTTAGACTGATAAGGATGCTATAAGTATGTATGAAAAAATAATATAAGTACTCATGTTCATAATTTCCACATTCTATGTACTAAATTCTATATGTCTATTGCCGCAGTAGAAATTAAATTATCCATTTGCAAAGTTACCAAATAATTTTGATTGTTAAAATCTTCAGCTTTTATAAATACCCAAATATGAATTGCAATTTGGACAGAGGCTGCAATAAAAGTTGACGAAATAATTAATAATTTAAATTGATTTGAAGGAAATCCCCCTTTCACTTACTGCATTTGATTTTGACATGAGCTAACACAATATGGAATTAAACAGCATGACCAGCATCCTATTAAGCACAACAAGTAAGCTGCTGCATGCGTACGAAATGAAACTTTATCTTTGACCTTTGTGGTTATCTGCGATTTGCATGACGGACATGTCATATTTTGAGATTTTGGTCCATAACATGGTGGGTGCATTTGCTGTACAATTATTGTTGTTGCTGTTGCTATTTTTAGAAGTTTTTACATTTGTTTTTTGTTTTCGTTAATTCAAAGTTGACTTACATGCTGGCTTATTTGGCTTGGTAACTTGCTCAACTGCTAGTGCTTTGACTACGTTGCTATATGGTGGTGGCTTTAATTCATCATGAACGACAACACTTTGTGTATTTATATCTGAAATTAATTTGAGTTGTGGTAAAAAAAGAATTTAGCAACAGGTAATCAACAATCAAAAAAATAATCTACAATCTTCGGTATTTGTTTCAGATTGAATTAAATATTTTTCGTTCCCAAAAATAATAAATGTTAATATTTCTTACTAAAACATCTCAAAAATTTATATCATTAATTCATTAATGGTCAAACTAATTACTAACCCATTTAATAATATAAAATATATCACAACACTCCTGAAATCTTAATGTCTAATTTGGAAATTAATGTGTTCTTAACAAAATCACAAACTTATCTGCGAGAGTTTTTAAAAATGTTCAAAATTAATGACAGCTAAATTAGAGATTAATCATCCATTCGTATCTGTGTATTTTTCCATTCAGAAGAATATAAAAATTGATAAGAGGTGATTTGTATATTATTTGCCGAATGTTCACTGAGTCACACGCTTATAATTATGGTTTCTTTAAATTAATAGCTCATTTCTAGAAACATCAGGACCAACATCATTTTTCCAGTCATATAGCAAAAAGCGATTAGCACTTCATTAATCAGTAATTTGATTTTACTACATCTTGTAACATATACTTCCATCATTATTATTGCCCATAGGCAGTAAGTGGACTTTTGAAATATCATAAAGTGTCCATGTAATCGGCAAGATTTTGCATTACACATTTTATAAACAGCACTTGAAGTAGATTAATTGTTGACTTTGTTTTCACCAAAGGATTGATTTACATAACATACAAGTAAGTATGAATCAAAAAGCAACAGGATCTGTTTTTTTTAATCTTTCTTTCTTTCTCTTGTTTCATACTTTATTATTTTAGCTTGTTTGAGGTGTGGCTTATTGTGTTTTATCGATAAAATTTGTTTTTGACTTGCTTGGAGTGTAGATCAATGAAATTTGCAATTAATTAAAAATAATAATTAAGTGCCTTTTAAAAAATTGGAAGCTGGATATGTGCGTATTCCATAAGATTCACATTAAAAAATCTACATATACCCTTTATCACATAAATAAAACTACAATTAACTTGACTCAGAAAATATGATTATCATGAACTATAAACTTAATCTCTTAGGGTAATCAATCAGTTCGTCAACTCATTACTTCTGTATGTGTGAACATGTTAAGTTTATTATCAATATCAACAACTTTTTATAAATTTTATAAATCTAGCAAATGAGAACGAATTAAGCAATTTACATCAACATAATAATTTACGCACTATTAAATGAAAAATTTAAGCATAAAGTTTGCAAGGAGCAGTCAAGACAATTTCTTGATTAGAAATCATATAGTAATATTAATTAAACCCAATTAAACATTAATTTTCATAAGAGGAACGCACAATAAATCAATGATGGAAAGACCCATTTATGCTCGATATTTTTTTATGGAACAATTTTACATCCCGTCTTACAATTTTTTATTGCGAAATATGACAGCCACAACAATCACTTAATTGTTTTTCCAGAGAAATATCTTGGAAATAAAATTTAATGATTGAATGAACGTGTCTCGTACTCGGCAATAAATTTTGAGTACTGCTCAAGGTTTAAAATAAATTCAGTTTTGATTAAAAAATTTAAAATAAGATTTTAGAAGAATTAAATAAAAAACCGCGACATGCATCATATAGATCGACATGTTAATTTTGATTGATTATGGAACAAGACAAATTACTGTCGTGCTTATGCGTTTTTTGTCTCTTCATTCATAATTTTTTAATCAACATATATCTCTATTCATCACACTTTTTGTGGCTGCATCAGTTAGTGGTTTTTTTTTATGGTTTTAAGATTTGGTTTAATTATTATTTCTCAGTGATCATGAGGGTTCTTTACATACTTTTTTCGTTTGTGGTCCACCCTAATCTGGCTTTCTTTTGCTTTTTTTAACCAACATACAAGTATATTTTTATGTCTTCTTATTTTAACATGCTCTTGGTCTGTTTTGGTAATTTTATTTTATTTATTTTAGTCTACCAAAAAAATTAATCAGCTTTTCTTAACAGAGAATGTATAATTTATGACCTTCATAGGATTTTTTTACGTTTTGTTTATAAACATTTTTATTTTCATACATGTGAAACTGTAGACGACCTTCGGTTGTTCATAAACGATAAGAGTATAAATAAAAATCAATGATCGCCTTTGCTTGGAAGCAAATCGAGTTATTCTACTAAGAATAATTTAATAAGTCATATGAAGGTTTGATAATTCTTCATTAATTGACGGTGCGTGTAGAAGGTGCATCGATTGTACCACAGTATGATCAGTTCGTTATAATGTTTGCTTGACTGTAAAATATGAAATATTTATCCATTAGTCGTGGATAATAGCAATGAAAAATTTGAGTCATTAATATTATTATGAAATTTATGCGCGTATGCAAGTTATCTCTTCCAAAAATCAATTGTTAAATGAATGAAATGAATTTTATGAAATAAAATTACTTTATAATCACAAAAAAATGACATTAAAGCTTGCCAATTTCTTACTCATAACAGACAATAGACAGTTGAAAGTTGAATTTCTCACGTTATTCTCAAGTTCAGAATTCGACGGATAGAAAAAACATTTCGTATGAATTAAGCAACAACGTACGCTTTTACGATTGAAGTTTGTGATATTGAATGAATTGGAAACAATTACTAATTAATGGTAAAGTTTTAAATATAGCAATCGCGTGCACTCTCCCTTGAACTTGCATGCAATTTATAATGTTTCTTGAATTAAGAAGAGCAATATTACCATTTTGATTGTATGTCATAAACAAAGCAAAACTGTAGTTCCTAAATTTTAATTTCTTAATCTCCTTGGTTTGCTTATATTTGTTTAAAATTACCCACATGTTGTATTATATTTATGTCGACATATCCTTAAAATGCCATAAAACTAGGGAAACAAAATTAAACTAAACATTTCACAATTTCCACTTTCAAATTGTTTAAAATTGCGGCATTTGTTTTGAGCATATCAAATTGGATTGCTAATAAAATCGCGAATTTTTGTGAATAATGAACAATAAGAAATGAAATCAATAAGCTTTTTTATCTTTTGTACCTGTCAATAATTGACTGCAATTTTTGTCAAGAATTGAAAACTTTTGAGCTTGGCAAAGTTCTCTGCTTGCCAACTTTTATGCAAAAGCTAATTATCCATGCTCAGTAAAATAAATCGACATTGACTGTGTCAAACATTAAATTAGATCAGTTTATTAAGAAATTTTAATACATTTATCTCCACTGTTTAATCGGTTACTGTGACAGCAGTTAGCTAAAGTAATTTTAAATGCAGTTGTCTTGTAACATGTGATTAAATACAAAAAGTAATGGGCGATAAAATAAAATTACTTATAAAATGCAATTTTGCGACCCGGAAGTTCATTTTGAAACGAATAAGCTGGAACATAACCTCTTGATGGTTAGATACCTCTCAAGTCACATATTAATTATCATTAATCATTTCTAGCATACTTTTGTTCAACAAGTCATATAATAGACTGACTTCTACTTGATCTCTGACTTTTGTAACAAATATTTGTTGACTATTAGCTAATTGATATAACACAATGTACGTTAAAACTGCAATACTTTTTGGTCTTTAAAAACTTCTATGACTTGCAGGTTCCAACAAAGCGTTATGGCTCTGGTTCAATATTAGTGGTTTTGAAGAACTAAAAATGAACAAACTCAGCAGCTAGACAACAACTGAGGTCAATACGACCAAACAGTATGATAATGGAGTAATAATCTATTTTGGTACTTTGTTTTTGAGATTTTGATTGACAATAGCTATTTTAAACAACTTCCAGTTAAGTCTCAAGTAGGATATGTTCAATAATTGAAGTTAGATTGTAAACTAGTGTATCGGGTAGGAACCCAATGCGGATATATTCACACCGTACCATCAAAAGTCTTATCAAAAAAATTTTAGAATGTTTTATTTGTATTTGTTTTAAGCACTATAATATTTATGCAAAGTTTCAATCCATTTGGATAAACCCTCGAAGAAAAAAGTGAGAAAATTGATTTTGACTAGGGTCGCCCCTAGTCCTAAATTGAAAATGTATTTCCTACTTGATTCTTTGCTCAAAAAAATTTTAAGATGTTTTATTTGTATTTGTTTTAAGCACTAAAATATTTATGCAAAGTTTCAATCCATTTGGATAAACCCTCGAAGAAAAAAGTGACAAAATCGATTTTGACTAGGGTCGCCCCTAGTCCAAAATTGAAAATGTATTTCCTACTTGGTTCTTTGCTCAAAAAAATTTTACGATGTTTTATTTGTATTTGTTTTAAGCACTAAAATATCTGTGCAAAGTTGCAATCCATTTGGATAAACCCTCGAAGAAAAGTGACAAAATCGATTTTGACTAGGGTCGCCCCTAGTCCAAAATTGAAAATGTATTTCCTACTTGGTTCTTTGCTCAAAAAAATTTTAGATGTTTTATTTGTATTTTGTTTAAGCACTAAAATATTTATGCAAAGTTTCAATCCATTTGGATAAACCCTCGAAGAAAAAAGTGACAAAATCGATTTTGACTTGGGTCGCCCCTAGTCCAAAATTGAAAATGTATTTCCTACTTGGTTCTTTGCTCAAAAAAATTTTACGATGTTTTATTTGTATTTGTTTTAAGCACTAAAATATCTGTGCAAAGTTGCAATCCATTTGGATAAACCCTCGAAGAAAAGTGACAAAATCGATTTTGACTAGGGTCGCCCCTAGTCCAAAATTGAAAATGTATTTCCTACTTGGTTCTTTGCTCAAAAAAATTTTAAGATGTTTTATTTGTATTTGTTTTAAGCACTAAAATATTTGTGCAAAGTTGCAATCCAATTGGATAAACCCTCGAAGAAAAAAGTGACAAAATTGATTTTGACTAGGGTCGCTCCTAGTCCAAAATTGAAAATGTATTTCCTTCTTTGTTCTTTTGCTCAAAAAAATTTTAGGATGTTTTATTTGTATTTGGTTTAAGCACTAGAATATTTGTGCAAAGTTTCAATCCATTTGGATAAACCCTCGAAGAAAAAAGTGAGAAAATTGATTTTGACTAGGGTCGCCCCTAGTCCTAAATTGAAAATGTATTTCCTACTTGATTCTTTGCTCAAAAAAATTTTAGGATGTTTTATTTGTATTTGGTTTAAGCACTAAAATATTTATGCAAAGTTTCAATCCATTTGGATAAACCCTCGAAGAAAAAAGTGATTTTGATCAGGGTCGCCCCTAGTCCAAAATTGAAAATGTATTTCCTACTTGGTTCTTTGCTCAAAAAAATTTTAGGATGTTTTATTTGTATTTGTTTTAAGCACTTAAATATTTATGCAAAGTTTCAATCCATTTGGATAAACCCTCGAAGAAAAAAGTGACAAAATTGATTTTGACTAGGGTCGCTCCTAGTCCAAAATTGAAAATGTATTTCCTTCTTGGTTCTTTTGCTCAAAAAAATTTTAGGATGTTATATTTGTATTTGGTTTAAGCACTAGAATATTTATGCAAAGTTTCAATCCATTTGGATAAACCCTCGAAGAAAAAAGTGAGAAAATTGATTTTGACTAGGGTCGCCCCTAGTCCTAAATTGAAAATGTATTTCCTACTTGATTCTTTGCTCAAAAAAATTTTAGGATGTTTTATTTGTATTTGGTTTAAGCACTAAAATATTTATGCAAAGTTTCAATCCATTTGGATAAACCCTCGAAGAAAAAAGTGATTTTGATCAGGGTCGCCCCTAGTCCAAAATTGAAAATGTATTTCCTACTTGGTTCTTTGCTCAAAAAAATTTTAGGATGTTTTATTTGTATTTGTTTTAAGCACTTAAATATTTATGCAAAGTTTCAATCCATTTGGATAAACCCTCGAAGAAAAAAGTGACAAAATTGATTTTGACTAGGGTCGCTCCTAGTCCAAAATTGAAAATGTATTTCCTTCTTGGTTCTTTTGCTCAAAAAAATTTTAGGATGTTATATTTGTATTTGGTTTAAGCACTAGAATATTTATGCAAAGTTTCAATCCATTTGGATAAACCCTCGAAGAAAAAAGTGAGAAAATTGATTTTGACTAGGGTCGCCCCTAGTCCTAAATTGAAAATGTATTTCCTACTTGGTTCTTTGCTCAAAAAATTTTTAGGATGTTTTATTTGTATTTGGTTTAAGCACTAGAATATTTATGCAAAGTTTCAATCCATTTGGATAAACCCTCGAAGAAAAAAGTGACAAAATTGATTTTGACTGGGGTCGCCCCTAGTCCAAAATTGAAAATGTATTTCCATCTTGGTTCTTTGCTCAAAAAATGTTTTTTCATCCAAAGTTTAATTTAAAAAAAATCACAGTGAACTTTTAATTTGAAAAATTCGTAAGAAAGGAAAGTTTTTTGCTTTTTCTGAAGCAACGGCTGTTCCTACCTTGCCTAAAAACAATACAGCTCTTCTTTAAAGTAGCACGGATCAAATGTAAAAAACTAGAAGTCTCTACAATGTCTTGTTATTGAGATTTCTTGCTGATTAACTTGCTTGTTTGCTTGTTTGCTGGCTTACAGAAAGCATATTTTTCGATTTTCTCAGCAATGCCGCAACCAATTTGAAATCTGTTTTTTGCAAAAGATGTGAAATTCAAGGCACAAACTTTTCATCTCTGAACATTATAAGATAGCTTCATATCCTCACAAAATACAAAAAACTGATTTTTCAATCTGAACAAAACCAATAGATTCACACGTGAAAACGGTGTGAATATAAATTAAGAAACTTCAAGGAACTTTTAAACAAAAAAAATTATTATAAAGTCAGTAGACATTGGCGAATGGCACCGCAAACCTGTTACGAAAATAAGAATGAAATTCCTGTGCTGTGTGTAAGCAAATCTTAAAGTCAATGACTGATTTCGAATCAAAAAGATTATACAAGAAACAAGTTTGTTTGGGAAATTTTCTGTCCATGAAAAATATTCTCAAAATATTGACGCTTAAATTTCTCCTATGTGATCTTTACATGCAAATTCTAAAATCACGTTTGCAGTGCTCATTCAAACTACATAAAAAAGAACGAGAAGGCATTATAAGTTTTATTGCCCCCACCAGACACATACACACAAATCATAAAAGCTTTTGTTGGAATGACGTATGAAAAGCTTTGTAGTGTAGAAAAAATATTAGCACGATCTCACTTTCAATAGCTTGCTGCTTGGCAAGTAAAAAGTCTTAAGTTTCATTTTCATTTGAGTAGTAGTGCAGACAACAGGCAACAACAAGAAATATTCGGTTTTTAAAAATATTAAAAAAATCTTGGCTAGTGCTTAAAGTTTAATTACAATTTAAAGCTGTTCAGTTGAATTGTGATTGCTGTCGGATTAACACGAATGTTGTGAACGGTGAAGAAATTTTTGCGAAGAAAATTTAAAAAAATATTAAAAGGTTTTTGAAAAGGTGATAAAAATTTGAAAATGCGATGGATTATGAACATTCTGTGATTAAAATGATGTAGCTTATAAAGAGGTTTAACAATAGTGCAAAATTAATAATATAATATTGACTCTAATGCTGTTTGCCTTATTAATTTTGAGTAAAATACAAGATGCGAGTAAAAAAATCAGCAATAATGAAAACTCAACCAATTATGCAATAAAAGCTGAATAACTAATAATAAAAATAAATATCAAGTGTGTGTGCTGCAAGTATTAACTACTTTTTTGCATGTGCTCGCTCATAGCTCAGTCTCATATTCCAACGTGACATTTTTAACTGATTTCTCAGTAATGAAACAAATTATTACCATTTTGTATTCATGTACCATCGGATCCCAACTGAACGAGCGGACATTGAGAAATGGATTCATAATGAAATACTTCTCTTCGCGGCAAAAAGAAATATTTTTTTTAATTAAACAAGAGTCCAGTGTAATTATTTACAGATGATGAGCTGGCAGTGATAGCAGTTGTGTCGTTAATTGCTTAAATCCACTCTTCATTTTTTTGTCTTTACGTTTTATCGTGCGACAAATTTTTTTCGTCACTTCGGACGATGTCATACTTTTTATTTTTTATTATCTCGTAATTATTTGCGTAACTTTTTTGTAGTGTTTGACAACCATCCGTGTGAATTAAACATTATTGCTGTCATTTGATATAAAATTTTATTTAAATGTTGCAATTTCGCACCATTTTTCAAGATAATAAACAACCGGCGAAATTAATTTAATTAATTTACAGTTTAAATGAAGTTGAACGATTTTTTTTACTGCAACACTTCCGCATTTTTTCTTTATTTTTGTGAGAGCCAAAAAGTACGTCAATCAAGCGCGAAAAATTATGATTTCATAAAAAAAAATCGCTTCTATAAAATGTTTTAACGCTCAGCCGAGGTTAAACTTAATTTATATGAACTTTGCATATAGGTGCTAGTGGCTAAAGAATAAAAGAACTGAACGGCCTTGTGAGCATTCAATAATTGCGTAAATTAATGAAACTTACTAGCATATTAAATCTGATAAGAAGCATTGCAAAATTTCAGCAAACTCTCCGAGAGGAATTGATAAAAATACATTTTTAAGATCCAATGCAAGGCATAACAATTTAAGATTTAAGTGAATCAAAAATTGTTCCATAAAAGTGTAGTTGAGAAAACTGGATTTTTTTTTCACGAGACAAGGCAGTCCACCTTTTTGCTATAAATGCAATAAGAGTCTGTTGATATCGTGTTCTGTGTGCAAGTCATTTTGTAATGACGATCTCTGTGATACAAAATAATTGGCTTAATAAGTTTTTTTCTGAGGCAATCAATTTTTCTGATTGGGGTGAGTGTTTTCAATGATTTGTTTGAACACCTACATGATGTTGATTTTGTAAACCAAACAGCATTCTTTTAAATTTTAGCAAAAGTAGGAATAAGTCGATCTATTCAGCTCTTTTTCCTAATAGACGTCATTTTAAAAACGCCCCAAAACTTCTATTTGTCAACACGATTTTCCAAAATTCACTCATATCTTCCTGTATAAACTACATCTAGTGCACCTATCCTGTATAAACTACACCTTCAACAGAATCAATTTAATTTATCAGACTTGTAAAAAACTCATTTTGCCAATAAGCATTTCATATTAATTTTTTCATAATTCAGTCAAGGCTGAATGCCATAATGTGTAATACAAGAAGTGACAAAAAATTAAATTTTCAACGGTAAATAAGTAAAACGCCAACAACAAAAAAACTTTCAGAAAATTATAACTTTTTCAATAATTTCATCTTAATCTAATTTCAACCTAGCCAGAGCGAAACTATTATGCAATACAGAAATATGTAGTAAATAATGCCGCATATTAAACAGCTTTAACTGTTGGCTTCCCAAAACTACAAGTTATTGCTTAAATGTGCTTTGAAACAATTTGCAAAGATTAAAATGTCCAGTGCTTTTGAATCTCAATTCTTCATTGAAAATTAAAACTCGTTTTATGTCTCAAGACATTTCAATCAAATTAGCGATTATAGGATATATGATATATAGCACAAAGACTGACCTTCTGATTTATTTTCACTACGAACAAATTTATTTTTGCAAAGTGATGGTTAAGCCTTGTGATCCAGTGCAGTTAATCGTAAACGTAGGTGATGTTATGCAATGTTAAATTTTTAAGGCAGTTTAGAGTGCAGAAAATTAACACTTTGGAATATATGGTGGATATTTCTGGATCATTCTGAGAAACTCAAACTATTTACAGTAGTTGATGTAGCTCAATGTTCTCTTTATGATCCATACTTAATCTACTGACTTTCAAAACTTCTTACGTTCTTGAAATAAAAAGCCCCAGGCATCGTCAGGCAAAGGAAAAAAAAATTCAACAATAAAAGTAGTTTAAACTGATCCTCCCAAACCAGCAGAACACAACAGCAAATCGCCATTTATAATGTTTGAAATAATATTAAAATTCCTATTTAAAATTCTATAAGACAGCCTATTACAATCACAACCAGCACACTCTTTCTTTTGTCAAAATATCCCAAACTAATTTTAATCTTCCTGCATAAAAAACTGTAACACAATTTTTTTTAAACGACAGCAAAATTGTTCAACAATGATAAATTCCACTATATTTAAAATAGAATGCTTACATGAGAAAACAAGTCACTATGGGCCAGAAATGGAAAATTTTTCCAAAAATTATTTCTACAGCTTATATGATAGTTCTTATTATGCCCTACATTTACGTCCTTAAAACTTTGCTCAAGTCGACAGCATGTCCGAGATATGGCACTTCAAAGTTGGTCAGACGACCATTTTCACGTTACATTGAAAATGCTCTCACCAGATACTGGATAGATGAATCTCCTTCAAATTTTTTTTGTTAATAGCTTTAAATAGTTACTTTGTTTTAAGATATAAACAATTGCAAATAACTTTGAAAAATTTTGTGAAAAACTAGATTTTTCTCAAAAACCACGTGTTCGTCATACTTTCGTTTGTGTAGGTCTTCACAAGCACAACCAAAGTTACTAATTTCTTTTTTATATTAAAGATTACATCAAAAGCTATAACTTTTGCATACATGTCGTATAATTTTAACAAAGTTTTGATAGTGAAAAAAAAATTTTTTATAAAAAAAACAACAATTTTTTGACAAAAATCGCTGTAGTGCTTCAGGGATACCCATGGTAGTGGAATTTTATTTCACATTTAGAAAGCTCTCTAGATATGCTATCAATTAATGCAATAAAATGAACAAGTGTTCTCTTGGCAAAGAGCACTTTTTTGACTCTGAAAGTCGTATGTCGAGCAAGGTCAAAAAAGAAAAATAATCATAAAAATTTCAGTTTTAAATAAAATTTAATTTTTTTAATTTAGATTGATAGATCTTTTTAAAACGCGTCTTTTGAGTATAAATATGTTATAGTTTTGTCAAGTTTCGTGATCATTTTTTTAAAAAAATAGTTTTTTTCAAAAAAAAAATTGAAAAATAAAGTATTTGACTTTAGAATTTTATAAAATGCATCTTTTTGTCATTTTTTTCACTACTTTGTCTAGTTTTGCTCCTAGTTTTTTTCCTAAACATAAATCAATAAGAACTTAGCATAATTGAAGCCATTTGGAGGTTAAATTGAGTTAAAAATCGTTTAAAATTTTTGTATTTCTCAAATAGTTCTTTACACAAGTATCTAAGATATAAAGTGTTGCATAGTTTTGAAAAGGTATTGAAATTTCCAATATGTTAACATGAAAAGTTTAGGAAAATTTTCAAGTAATATAGTCAATTTGGGTAAAAAACGCATTTTATATATGCTAGTTTTTAATGTTTTTCGTTTTTCTCAGCAAAGACTTTATGAAAAACTCTCAAAGTTTGCACTTTTATTTGTTATATAAATGTTAATGACTCGTAAAAGTTTTGGAATTTTCCATTGAGTTTTTCATTAGTTCTCCTAATCTGAAATTTTCACTATTAAATTTTCGTTTTTCTCAACAATTGCGATTTTTTATTTATAAATAAATATCTTATTTTGTTTCATTTTTCAATATCTTTTCATTGATATGTAACAATCTACAAAAAAATTAAGACTAAAGAGAAATGAATAAAAAAGTGTCAAAAATGTATGAAAATTCTACGCTATTTTAATTTTTTAAGCCTTTTATGGTTAATTTTACTAAGTTTTATAAGAGTGTTATACCTTTTTTTGCAAATGTATAGCGAGACAAAAGACAGTTCCATATGAAGAAAACCAGATATTAGTTTTAATGCTATTTAAGCTATAATATTAAGCTTTTTCATTTACTTTTGTTATAAATGTTTCATGTAATTAATAGCAGCCTGAAGATATAATTTAAAGCTTTTAAATAATTTAATTTTAATAAATTCAAAATTTTTGGTTGTCGCCAACTTGAAGCTTATTTGACTTCAGTTGTGCTTAGCGTAGACTCATACGAATTTTGGTGGATGAACGTCTTAAGCTATACATTTGCAAAAAAAGGTATAACACTCTTATAAAACTTAGTAAAATTAACCATAAAAGGCTTAAAAAATTAAAATAGCGTAGAATTTTCATACATTTTTGACACTTTTTTATTCATTTCTCTTTAGTCTTAATTTTTTTGTAGATTGTTACATATCAATGAAAAGATATTGAAAAATGAAACAAAATAAGATATTTATTTATAAATAAAAAATCGCAATTGTTGAGAAAAACGAAAATTTAATAGTGAAAATTTCAGATTAGGAGAACTAATGAAAAACTCAATGGAAAATTCCAAAACTTTTACGAGTCATTAACATTTATATAACAAATAAAAGTGCAAACTTTGAGAGTTTTTCATAAAGTCTTTGCTGAGAAAAACGAAAAACATTAAAAACTAGCATATATAAAATGCGTTTTTTACCCAAATTGACTATATTACTTGAAAATTTTCCTAAACTTTTCATGTTAACATATTGGAAATTTTAATACCTTTTCAAAACTATGCAACACTTTATATCTTAGATACTTGTGTAAAGAACTATTTGAGAAATACAAAAATTTTAAACGATTTTTAACTCAATTTAACCTCCAAATGGCTTCAATTATGCTAAGTTCTTATTGATTTATGTTTAGGAAAAAAACTAGGAGCAAAACTAGACAAAGTAGTGAAAAAAATGACAAAAAGATGCATTTTATAAAATTCTAAAGTCAAATACTTTATTTTTCAATTTTTTTTTTGAAAAAAACTATTTTTTTAAAAAAATGATCACGAAACTTGACAAAACTATAACATATTTATACTCAAAAGACGCGTTTTAAAAAGATCTATCAATCTAAATTAAAAAAATTAAATTTTATTTAAAACTGAAATTTTTATGATTATTTTTCTTTTTTGACCTTGCTCGACATACGACTTTCAGAGTCAAAAAAGTGCTCTTTGCCAAGAGAACACTTGTTCATTTTATTGCATTAATTGATAGCATATCTAGAGAGCTTTCTAAATGTGAAATAAAATTCCACTACCATGGGTATCCCTGAAGCACTACAGCGATTTTTGTCAAAAAATTGTTGTTTTTTTTATAAAAAATTTTTTTTTCACTATCAAAACTTTGTTAAAATTATACGACATGTATGCAAAAGTTATAGCTTTTGATGTAATCTTTAATATAAAAAAGAAATTAGTAACTTTGGTTGTGCTTGTGAAGACCTACACAAACGAAAGTATGACGAACACGTGGTTTTTGAGAAAAATCTAGTTTTTCACAAAATTTTTCAAAGTTATTTGCAATTGTTTATATCTTAAAACAAAGTAACTATTTAAAGCTATTAACAAAAAAAATTTGAAGGAGATTCATCTATCCAGTATCTGGTGAGAGCATTTTCAATGTAACGTGAAAATGGTCGTCTGACCAACTTTGAAGTGCCATATCTCGGACATGCTGTCGACTTGAGCAAAGTTTTAAGGACGTAAATGTAGGGCATAATAAGAACTATCATATAAGCTGTAGAAATAATTTTTGGAAAAATTTTCCATTTCTGGCCCATAGTGCAAGTCGAGCAGGTTTCAGAAACTTCCCTTTTGTCAGTGTCACAAGACACATTTAAAGATTTATGTCACGTGTATTAACACGTCCAGTAATAATTTCTGTTATTACCTGTAGAAATAATAAAAGTGTAAATTGTTATACATAATTGCTCTGGTGAGAGCGAAGCATCGCCTTAAGATTAAAATACATTACGAAGCATTTTGCAATTATTTCTTTTACAAAAATTAATCTTTCAATATCGCAATTTTTCCTGTTTATGGCCTTTTGAATTGATTTATTGTGACCTAGCTGAGCATAGTCCAACAACCTACTGAAAGACTGTGCAGGAGAAATTTCGCAATGAATTTTATATGAAATTGTGACAAAAGGAGAGGGAGACACTTGCAATTTCGGTATGGATAACACTCAACTGACTGCTTGATCTTTGTAAATTTCGTAACCTCAGCACTAAGGCTACTGCTTCATCTGCTTTAAATAAATTTAATTAAATACTTGCAAATGAGAAAAAAGAGTATCACGCAACCTTTTTAATTTCTGAAGCATTAAGCCTCAATATAAGCTACTGCATTGTTACCCTCAAGATAAAAAGAGAGCAAGACACGACCTTCCATACCATACTCAATGTCATTTTATTCTCTTTCTCTATAGCATTTAATCTAGTTTATTAATAAATTTATATATAATAAATACAAAGATGAAATTGACGATATTCGTACTAGCAGCGGTTTTCTGTATGGCACATTCAAATCCAGTGCCATTGCCAGAGGAATCAATAGACTTAATTAATATTCCGCTCAAAGACAATAAGGTGAGTAGACATTTGATTTATTGTAATTTATAAGATTTTTATAAGGTCGAAATCAGATTAAAACCTTTTAGATTTTGAACAAAACCAGTCTTAATTGTTGATATCTTAGCACCATCTTGAAACCACACAATTTTAAGAAATCAAATTGATCAATAGAAATCAAGTTGATTAAATATTTAATCCCACATTTTTGCGTATGCCGGTAGCCTGAAGTTCAAATTAATCAACACATTTTGTACAGATGACTTATTTACGCAAGTTTGAAGCTTCTCAGCTGGGGTTATATAGGCAATTTGTCATTATTATTTACTTGTCCACACATACGCATGCTTTTAATGTTTATCAAATATTGACATTCCACATATTGCTGCTGCTCATTTTCCTGATCTATGTACATTGTCTATTGGCACATCTAAGACTATTGTTTTTAATTTAGTTTTTCTATTATGAGATGACTTATTCACATGTCGTAGTAACAAAAAATTATAATAGACTTTTGCTTTAATTGCAATGTGATTTTATGGCATTTCAAACAAAATAGACATAAAGCCCAAATGATGATGATTGTTGATTACGGCAAATAAATGTTAATCATGATGCGCATACAAGCAATCGTTTTACTTTCACTTATGCAATAAATGACGAATAAAAATATTTTTTACTACTACCATCGATATAGACTGGCTATAAAGCATACTGTTCATACTTCATTTTTCTTCTTTTAAATTTCCGTTTGCTGCAATTTTTGAACATGATTTTTTTTCATACAATAAGAAAAAAAATTATTATTATGAAGTTCTCAGTTTGTCTTTTATTTGAGTTATTTACAAAACACATAAGCTCATTGAAAGTAAAAGTGAAGATGATGAATGATCAGATCGCTTAGCTAATAATTTTTTCAAATAGTCGTGTTTCGCAAATATTGATTAACAATAGCAGCTGTTGAAAATTGTGTTTGCCTTAATGGTAGAACTTTAAAGAATTTTGATTCTGGTTAGATATGGCAAATATTTTAACATTAATGTGAGCTTCTTATAAGGTTTGAATTAGTAAAATTAATCAAAATCATGATGTTTATGAATTGACATGATTTTTGTATATTTTATTAGTTGAGATAAATCATGATTTCTCAGGAATGTATTTGAACTTCTTGAATCAAAAAAAATGAGTAGGAAATTACTGATTATGATAACTATTTTTACTTACATTTAAATCTTGATATTTTTTTTCTACATTGAAATTTGCAGACTTAAATGATTTAGTAATTATTATTATTTTTATGTCATGTCTACAACTTGTACCACAAATGAAACTTTTATTAGTATAATGTAATGTAATAATGATGATGAAGAAGATGGAAACATTTAATAGAGACATTTTAAAATTTTGTTAATGTTTGGGTCTAGACGTCCCAAAAACCTTAAAATAATAATATAATGTAAGAGGTAAAACCAAAATAATCATGCAACATGTCATGGACCTTTTAAAAAAAAATAATGTCAATTGAATTCAAATTTTAAGGTATCCAGTCGGTCCATCATTTTAAAGAAAAAAATTAAGAGCCAACTTATTAAGTCTAATTGCCAATTGTTTTTAAGGTCTTGAAGTACAAAACTTCTCATAATCAAGTGCTAATTCCATATTACTTAATCTTGCAGTAATAATATTTTTCCCTCGAACATTGTAATTGATATGCGTTACTCTGATCGAGCCTTGAACATTTATTTTTCTAACATTTCATTTTAAAACTCATAGTTTGGCTTTTAAGCGTACAACAATAAAAATGTTTCTGTCATTTATTTGATCATATGATGCTCAATCACATAACGTGACGTCGGAAGTCATTACACATGACACGCAAAAAAAGACTGACCTTCTTAAATCGCAATTTTCTTTCTCTTTCTATCACTTAAGCTTCATTCAATTGCATTAACGAGTTTTTTGTCCACTGTGCACAATACTTTATGAAGAATTGTGTAACAGTGCTGTAAGCGTTCATATTCTTCTTACTTATTCGATCTTTTACCTGATTTTATACATTTTTTGGTTTTCTTGGCACACAAAGATGAAACAAGAGAACAAAAAAGTAAATGAAAGTTACCTAAAAACAAGGTACGAGCAATGACCATTTTTCGGGCAACAAGAGATCTTCACTCTCAATTTTACTTTTTCACGCTTCGTATACAAAATGGATATATGTTTGATTAAAATATTTAATGTGATATTCAGTTACTAAATGGGAGGCTTTGTTTCGAAAGTATTTTTAAGTGCTAAGATATTTTAGACTGCTTTAGATTAGCACAGTTTTGAAAATCAACTTGAGGAGTATTTGGTTCAGCAATTTGATTGTGTTTAGGAAATGCTTTTTGCTCCAAAAATCTTGAAAAAATCTAAACCCTATTAATTACCTATAAAGAAAGATCCATTGATATTTTATCATGAGGAACTGTTTTACCACTTAATGTTTTGATTGCCGTTTCATGCCATTTATCAAAACTGTATGTAAATGAACAGCACAATTGAAGATGTAATTAAGTTTTTATGCAATTATTGATCTTTATTAATGATGTGTAAATATTTACATAAAAAAACAAGATGTGTGATTAAGTGACTCGAATGAAGTAACTGCAGAAAGGAAAGATCCCATAACGCTAATACTTGTACATGATAGTCTGTAAATTTAAAGATGATATTGGATAATTTTAGCATTACAAAACATATGATTAAAAAGAAATTTGCACTTATTCCCACGAGCATGCGCATCATCATTATTATGCATATCTGACGCAATCAATTGCTAGCAATCATCAACATGTGAAATATAAATTTTTTCAAGGGTAAAATGCAAAAGCTAAATACAATTTCGTAAGTTATAATTTTTATTATTCAAGCGCTTTATTGTTGTAAGCTAGTAACAACAGCAGCAGTTGCTGTGTTTATGAAGCAGAAAGATGCTTTATATACTTACTTACCTTCCTATGATAGTAATTTTAATCAGTTTTCAGTAAATGAGAGTCAAATGCATGTCAATGTCAATATTGTAATCTCGTTCTCCATGATATGCTAATACACAGAAATGCTACGGTCTAAGTTTAAATTTTATTAATATTTTGAGTTTCAATGGACAGGCCCAAATTATAAAGCTGTTGTGAGACTTGAATTGGTTCTAATCGGTCATCTAAATGTTTTAAGAGACTTTTAACGAATTGCTCACGAACTAGATTATTTCGTAATCAAAAATGACGGAAATAATTTTAATTCAGTTGATCCTTTTCAATTTAATCAGAACTGAAACCAAGAAACCTATTCACTTCTATTAACTGTACAGACCATACAAATACAGCAAGTAAGAAAACCATAAAATTAATCCTCAATAGTTGCCACACATTAAACTACACATGCTTTAAATTCATTTCAACGGAATCAGCGTGAGTAATTACGAAAATTAGCAAGAATAAAATTTTATTCAAATTATAAACTAATATACAGATTATTACGAATCTTGTTGGGGCTACATATGTCAGGTTTACAAACAAAAATACGTCAAACACTTGGAAAATTTTCAACAGCTTCGAATTCCTTTTCAGTTCTCTTTTTTAAAAATAATATATTGACGCACTTTAATGGTTTTTTGAAGCTTTAAAAGAGCAGACATATATAACGTTTAAGGAAGTGCTTAGAACTTTTTCATGCAATTTAAAATGTGGTTAAGATATAAGTAACCATGAATTATTCTATAAATTTGTGATATTTCTATTTAAATTAATTTAATAGTAATTATATGATCATTGGATCTAATTTTGGAAGTATAGACTGGATGTATCAATAATTGATTGTTAAATCTGTTGATAACTTTAACCTTTGAGATAAAAATTAATCAAGAAAAACATACAAAATATTCAAATAGAAATTTATTTTTATTCCACAGGAACTAGATATTTTAACACTCGCCGAAAGCGATGGAACGATAAACGAGAGAAATAAGAGAACAATTGGAATTCTACGAGAATTATTCCCACAATTATCAAAAGTGAGTATCAGCACTAATCCGTATTAAATTAATAATATTTTAAAATAGGTTTTTTGAAGATTAGAGTTGATTGTGTATAAATAAAGCCAATTTGTTCAACTGGTTATGGAATTACTTTCAAAAGTCACCGAATCAATTTATTTTTTTGTCATTAATTTAATCGTGTTGTGATATTTAAATCATTTTAAGCATCCCTTACGTAAAGCTGTTAGGATTTAGAAGTGCATACAAATTGCTTTTAACAGAAAAAACATTTAATTTAAGCACTAAGCTTTAATAAGCGACTGTGTTTAGCAAAAAGTACGATTTTTTGCGTCAAAGATGCCATCTCTGTGTATTTTTGCTACCGCGTTGCACCTTGTTGGGGTCGTTTGCAAACTACGTTTTTTGTATGAACTGTCACAAATCTTTCCACCACCTTCCCTCTAAAGCATGACGTTACTTTCAAACGACCTTTTAAAAGTACCATTAAATATTTGCAAATAAACACAATAAGCAAAAGATCATCCTTTTATTGCTAATGGTTAGCCACGCTATTTTGATGATTGACTCGAGACTTTTAATAGAATTGATTTTCGGGACATTTACTTTTAATCCTTGACTTTTCAGTACAAATTAATGTGTTTGGTTATTGAGTCACGTTGACTGTTTGTAATAAAAAGTAAACTTTAATAATCCTCGAAGGTGCGGGGTTGCATTCACAAAAGCGTGAAATTTCCATTCATAATTAGTTTAAATTGTATACAAATTAATTGCAAATATGTAAAAAAAGTAAGCATCGTGAAGTTAGGTTAGAGGTTAAGGTTACTTGAGAATTACCATCACTGAAAGGGTCGTATCGACTGCTAAACTAGTTTTTATGACACATACTCGCGCACTGATCTTTATATAAAAATATATTAGAGTCATTAAAGATTCGTCAACAAGTGATGTCCAACATTTACTCATTTTCTCGACAGTACAGTTTGAATTGAGCCAATTGATGACGGCTGATTCAAAAAACAATTTACTAACGTTCATGCATACAACACTGTACAACACAGCATTAGACTATCTCTGGACGTTTTACATGTACAACCCCTGAACTTATTTCTTAATGCATCATGCAGTATTAAAAAACCAGTTCCAATGCAATGCAAAAAAAACTTTCGATTTCGTTTAAGAGCAATACGGCATGTCGCATAGACTTGTTAATTGTTTTTGTAGGTGCTTTTTTTTGTCCATTGAGAGCTTCACCCAAAAAGTTTATAAAATGTGTTACAAAATCATTTACCATAAAATTGGTTTACTTTATTAGACAATGTGTTGGATATCCCTCAAAAAATGATAATTGACCTTCGAATATTTTCGAAGCTGTACCAAAAAAAAAAACATCAATTTAATTAAGCACAAAAATAATTCTTTCAAAATGTGTTCAAAGAAATAAATATAGCAACAAAAAACAAATTGGAACAGTCATTAAAAAATAATTCGAGTTATTACTGTAATTATTGGAGCCTAATTTGTTATGTAAAGTTGAGTTATTAATTTTCTAGATTAACTTAAAACTACTTAAGCTACCTTAATTGAAAATTTTAATAAGAACCGGACATGTTATGTCATCAGTGGATATGATTAGCTCATAAGCAGCTGCGAACAACTTTTTCTCATCTTTCAATTCCATAAGACATAAATTAATTCAAAAGTGATAGTCTAGTTTGTTCACAATCTGGTTTGCGATTTAAATTGCATAAATGAAGGGGATTGAGATGCAAAGACCGAAACCTAAAAATGTTAATTAAGTATCTGTGATTTATGCAAGATTATCATCCTTATAATTCAGGTCGTTCTGTTTGATAAAGTCTAGAACTACCAGAAAACTATGAAACCTATTTGAAATAAGAATTTGTGATGATAATAAAATGTTTCATTTACTGTCATTAATAGTAAAATAAACTGCATACGAGCTCATATTCATGACTAACAACTTTTTTTGTTTCTAGAAGAAAAAAAAAACAGAATTTTACAGCTGCTTTACATTGAGCGTATTTACATGTGCTATGATGGAAAAACCAGATTACTTTTACTATATTTTTTCGTACCTTTAAAATTACACCGTCCATTATTCATATGCATGACTATACATTGGAAATATATCGAGTACTGCCTTACCAATATTTTATTTTTACTTTTTGCTTTACATATGCACATTCATTGTGCATATGACGATAACAATTGACCCACTTTTGATCTAGCTAAATTTATATTCAGACATAATTAATGTTTATTGGCTACGATCGCGATCTTTCCAAGTCAAGTCATGATAGGTCAGCGACCTTTGGTTTCCTTAAAACCTCAAAACTTACATAAATGCTGCTTTATGAGATCTATGTCACTTTTTGAATGAAACTTAAATGATTTATTGAGATAGATAATTTTTAACGCGATATGTCTTGATATATCGTGGGTGGGAAAAGAGGACTTATGGATAGCTTAGCTTATTGTGTTTTTATTATGCAAATTATTTATTATGAATATTGAACTAATTTTGAGTATTCCATTTATTGTACACAAAGAGCGATTTTTAATGCAATTTATTCGATAAGAACTTCTTCAACTTGACTTAAAATACATTCCATATTTGGTAACCGAAAAAATTTGCATTGTGGCATAATGTTTACAAAAGATTTAATGTCTTAATTACTCCCAAAAAAATATAAAGACAGACGGTATGTTTTCGCTTGACTGGATTGTTACTTTCCAAATTTAAATAATATGCTAATAAACAAAACATAAGACGTCCAAAAATAAAGAGAAGAAAACAAAAAGCATACAAAAGAAAAGCAATTGTTGTGTCTATTATTGTCTATACGTTATAAATATACATATGGCATTAAAATGAGGTAACAAAATTGTGAGCTTATTGCACCAAACTCGAGCTACTTTTTTTTTTCAAAACGAAAATGTTGATTACGAAAATTTCCGTAATAATTGTTGATGTAGGTTTGTTCATTAGAAATTGTCGTCTTTTAAAATATATTTTATGATTTATTTTTGTAAATTTTTAATTAATTAATTCGTCTTACTAATTAATATGCTTCGGGGTGTGTGGATTATGTTTGTGGATAAGATTGAGTCGGTCCATATAATAATTATTAGTGTTTTGTGTAAATATCAATGCGTAATCTACTGAGAGTCTGATATCTCATCAAAAATCTAATGAAAATCTTTGCATTCAGAAAATAAACACTTTCAAAAGTAACGCAAAAAAACAAGCCATTTTAAAATGTTAACCACTTTCTCTGTGCCTTACCGCATTTCTTGATTAAATTGTTATGAAATTCAGATTGAGATGACAGTTTTGTATCTAAAAACTGCAGTTTTTTTTCGTCTGAGTCAGAGCCAGACTTGCGAATTTACATTCACTTTTCAAAGATTAGCAAGTTTTTAATTTTTAAAGATTCCTGTTGTTTATTGATGGGTGTTAACAATCTAATTTATGAAAAATTATTGCAAATTGCTAGTTATAGCAGTACTCTAGGTATTTTTTGTATGAAAAATTTCAAGACTCATTCCTAGTAAATTATTTTCATAAATGCTGCCTTTGGTTAATTCATTGAATAGCTGATTTTAAGTTTGTTTCAGCAACTTAGTAATATTTTCAACAGCACATGCTGAGCAATGTGATGCCACGCGACAAAATCGTGGAAGTTTTTATGAATGTCGATGGTTAGTAATTGATACATGACTGATGTATAATATTCCATAGAATGGATGCCTGTTGAGCTCTGTTTAGGGTTTAGTTCTAGTAATTACTTCGATATATATTAAAGTCTTGTTAATCTTATTCTTTCCCAACTGAATTACTCAATGAGTTTTTTTTTCACTTGGAATTTCCGAATTACTTAATAAAATTATGGTGTAGTGAGAAAAAAATAAGTCAGGCTGAATTTCTCAGTGAAGAAAATGTTAACTTTGTAATTAATTCAATTGCTGAATTAGCTTACAACTAATTAAATCCAATAAAAATGTAAAACTTGAAAAAGGGGACCTTATCCATAAAATTTATGACAAAACATATAAAACATCCACACATCTCGAGAAGCAACAAAATAAAAATAACTTAATATTATTTTATTAAAAAATTATTTTCTTTTTTTATTTATTTAACAATTCGATGTGAAACAAAAAACTTTCTGTCTCGATTATAAATTGTAAATAAATCAAACACAAAAACACATATGTACATAAATAAAACCGAACATAAATAGTTATTCGAGCAGAAATTACAAATGCTTATACAATTTGTGGTGCGAACAATTGGGCCGATACTTCTACGTGGAGGCTTGGGTGGTGGAAATACAGCAACGACAAGTAATAAGAATAACATTGATGATGATTTTGATGATTTCGATAATGATGATGATGATAATAATGAGGTCGATGATAAGTCAAAGGATAAAGTAAATATTTCACTACCGACATTTGCACCCGAGAAAGAAGATTCAAGCACATCAACCGCCTTCACTGCAACAAGCACATCACAAATTTCAACTGCAACAGAATCTGCGCGCATCAATCTTTTAGATTCCGATGACTTTAATCAGTCAACATCGACTGTTGGCTCACAGACTACTGATGATGATTTTTCGTTTAGATAATTTTCTTACGTCACAGTTGGATCTATAAATGCTAAAGGGATTTTGATAGTTTTTTCGTTATACCTTCCTAGAATAAAATAACGTCATCCCTGAGATTCATATAAACATATATAAACAATATTTTAAGAACACTTATGCATGATTAAGATGAAAACTATAAAAAAAAATCGAACACTTTATTTAACAACAAGTTACTAGAATAGGTTTTGCACTTAAAATTTATCAAATCAATGGGGATTAAGTGTGAAAAATTGAATTTTTCAATCATATTTTTTACCTTGTAATTAGATTTAATTTTTTTTGTCCAATATATCAAAATATCACAGTTGAAACAATATTTTAAGCATGGCAGTAAAATGAAATAATTTTTCAAGATCAAAATATAAAAAAAAAACAGATGGACAATCATTGAACGAATTTAACGAATATCTCGATATACTTCCTTACTCGAACTTTATTGATTTTTTGAAACAAAATGTTAAAAAAATTAAGCAATTACAAAAAATCTTTTTTAAGAAATTATATTACATCTAAGATTGAAAGATAATCCTTAAAAGAAATAATCAAGTGACACATGTACATACACACATATATACACAATACAAATTTTTTATACTAATTATTTCCGCATAACACATTAGATGACTTTTAATATTTTTGGTCTAATTGGTATTAACTCATACTTATAAATCACACGATCAAATAATTAACAAAAGTACTTTAGATTAATTTGGTGGTTTGACGCACATTTATCATTTTAAATTTCTATTGAGCAAGCATAACGTTTTTAGTCATCAACGTATTACTTTCCGAACATACAAAAGAATAATTAATTAACTGTGAATTATCAACAAATTTGCAGTTATTTTTGAGTCCTTCGAGTAGTGTTAAATTTTTGTGGTTAATCAAGCTTGATATTTGCAAGAAATTTGAATTAATGACAACTTTTTAAAATGTCATGACTTTAATATGTTTTTGGGAGATAGCAGAGGAATTGGAAATTGAGATATCATGTTAGGAGTGATCTAAGGACTTCAATGATCAGTTAGAATTACACAGTTAATTAATTCATAATTCAGTCAAAACCACAGTAATTTGAAAAATATGGAAATCGAATTTGGAAATTATTTTTAAGTTAAATAATTTATTGTGATAATTATTCGAATTTCCCATCATCAACATATTTTTCTATTCTTCTTATTCAATTTCATATTGACATCCTTTGTCTCGTCTTTAAATCAACTCGGTTTCCTCACTCAATTCACACGTTAGATTAATTACTCTGATAAAACTGAGTCATTACTTCTATCTTCTTCTTACTTTGCTACCTCTAATTATTCTCGATTGTTATTAATTAAAATTCATCGAGCATATTAAATGTATATTAAGCAATAAGGAAGAAAATCAATGGCACACAATGATTGCGAGAATATTTTACTGTTAAAAATTATTATGAATAAAAAACTAGACTAAAGTCATCCGGCAAGCAGACTTTGCCATTGTATGCTATTGAGATTTCATAAGCTTAAGCATTTTTTTATTACCTTTAAGTTTTATTTCATTTCCATTAAAATTTTTTGTATTTATTCTCATTTTTTGTGTTTTTCTTCTATCTATCCACACACAAATCCAACACTTCCATATCAATTTGGACATACATAAAAAAAAATTGAATTATGTAACACATTTGTAACATAAATAAACTCAAGGTGCAAGCTGTTGAAGAACAAAACGTTTTAGAGCCAAGTAGTGCTGGTTCAGATGCATTCTTTGAGACAATTCGCGTTGCACGTGAAACTACTAATCTTAACAATAACCAAGATAATAAAATTAACAATGATCAACCGGCTGCGGCATCGGAACCAGTTAAAGATCAACAAGCACAAGCTGCTGAAAATTCATCATCAGCAGTAGATGAGTTAACACTTGATAGTGTGGAAGATGATGAGAATCGCGGCAAAAGGTTTGTGTTTATAATTAATACTTATGGGACACTCGATTAGTCTAATTAATTATGAATCCAAACAGGTTTCTCAATTTTGGAGCACAAGCTAGTGGAACTGGAAGTTCAGGATCAGGCGGTGGCTCCGGAAATTTCCTCTTTGACATCATTCGAGTAAGTATTGACGCTTTTTGTGTTATTTTGTTATGATTTTTCTCATTCATTGATCACCAAAATTTTTTATGTGCACAAAAAACTCAAAATTTTTGTGACTGACATTTCAGCTAGTTACAAATAATCATGTGGACGCATTTTTGGACTATATTCAATATTATTGCTAATTTACACATTTTAATTTAATTTCAAAATAGTCGAACAAGATTAAAAATGATTGAATTTGTATACAATAATGTTCGAATTTCTTTCTCCACAAGTTCAGACTTTTGAATTTAATAAGATTTTATAAAAAGAAATCTTCTTCCAGCAAAAATGCGCTCATATTATCCTATCCAGGATGACTTAAAAAGTAAATTAATAATATAATTATTTCGGAACAATTTATTTAAAATCAAATATTCGTCAGTGATGCAATTGGCAAATTCTCTTCATCTATTGATTCTATGTCTATCCTGATCTATCTATCTCTAATTTGCTTCACTTGGGGGACACTAATACTCTTTCTTCTTCCTCATTTGTCTATAAAAATTAAAATAAAGTCACCAACTGACCAGATTTTTATCTCATTTTTTTATAATTATTAAATTTTTTATGATTTTTCTCATTAATGGTGTTGTGATAATGATCCATAAAACCACCAACTATTGCATATTTAGTATGAAAATTTCATTTACAATGGAAAAACCAATAAAATTCATTTAAAATAGCAAACAGCAGATCGAGTTGCACGTGGTGCTGGAAGTGCATTTCGTGTTCTTGCTGGAACAGAATCACTTGATTCAGCAATTAAAAATATCAAAATAGATGCACATGGTGAAACTTTGGATGACGATTCGAGTCTGAGTCGATCAGCGAGAAGTGGCAACTTTAGTTCGGTAAAATTAGAATTTTTATGTCTGGTCTATATATATTTTTAGCTCTTTTGGAACTTTCTTCTCTTAAACTCTCATTTTCTTAATTTTAAGTCAATTTTGAGTTGTGTTAGCTAATATGCTTGAATGTTTTGCGCACTATTCTTCATTTTCTACTTTTCATTGCATCACTCGACTTTGTGAAGTTATTACTGCTTATAATTTCTTTTCCTTTACATGATCATCTACATACATTATTGATATTTAAATATAACTATTGCATATTGCTGATTACGATTTAAACTTCCATCAAAGTTGGCACGACACAAGTCTAGTGTGGGAATTTATTTGGATTTAAATTAAGCAATGATGAGTTATGGAATAAAAACATTATCCTAAAATTTGTGCAATTTAATTGGAGTCCACATATGACTTGTCAAACATAAAGCTTGTTTATCAGTATATATTATGTTGACGACTGGAAAATTTAAAAGAATCCCGACTATGTGTAGAATTCGAATTTATTTTACAATTTTGTATTTCTCATATGAAGTCGCACATTCACTTTCATCTTATCTTTCGTCTACAGTTCATAAACGTCTATTAACATTTACCCATATTTGGCTGATTAATGAGATATGAAATATTATTTAAATACAAAATTGGAACAAAACCTTTTTTAAATTAGAGATTATTTTGAAGGATAGTCGATTAAATATCATATATCACACCGTAATTCAAGCTATGCTTAATTCAACTACAAATATTTTTTTTGATCTATTTTATGAAATTTAAATTTATTAACCCTGATATCAAGAGATATTTGAAATTTGAAAGCCCAAAAATACAATCAAGGTAAAAATGCACATTGTTGTCGTCAGAAACTAGACCCATAATTTTTTTTAATAATCCAAAAGAAATCTTAAAGTAATTCATGAATGAGGGATTTTTAAACAATTTTGGGCTTTAAGTGTTTCTGATTAAATCAAATCTGTTAATTGAATCATTACCGCAAATGGAAGAGTTATTAAATACAAATGAAAATAATTGAGATCTTTTCAACTTTTGAATCATTTTATGTGAAGTTTAATTACTCTAATAAATTAATTGCTCAAGGAGAACATTTAAAAAGAGCAATTATGTTCTCGTTTTAAGACTTCCATAAATGGTTCAATGGGGCTCATTAAAAATAATTCATCCTCATGGACGACAAGTACATCAAGTATCAATGGAAATATTAAATTTAAAAACAACTTATATATACTGTGATATCAAGGCAGATGGGATTTACAGGTCAGAATACGAAATCACCAAATTGAATATATTATTAAATAAATAAACAATAATGCATAACATGTGATGAATAATAAAGGAAAAGAAAGGTGGAACCTTCCATTATATTAAAGGTCAGGTATTTAATTTTTCATGCATCCACATGAGGCCTCCGATTCCGACCTCACGAAAATTTAATCAACATTGAGTGTATTATGAATTAGAAATAATTTGCATTCCATACGAATCAAGCTATAATTGAATGCCGTCTGGTTAAAAATCTAAACGATAGCTCTGAATGATGAGTTAGATAATGCACCTTCATGTCTGTCTCGATATTCATTAATCATGTTATTAAACGAACATTAATTCTCTTTTACAGTTAGTGAGTGGCAGCAGTGGATCAGAGCAACAAGATGAGAGAGCAAATTCACCTGTTGATGGATCAACCGATGTTGGTAAAGGTGACGGATATACGGAAGGAATTCCCGGACCTGTTACACGATTAGTCGTTCTTGCCAATCGTGGATTATCTAATCTTATTCAAGATTTGATTCTCGTAAGTAGTCGACAATAATTTTAATTCCATGTTGGTTGAGATTCGATTAGGATGTGTAAAATGTTATACTAAGATCAAATTCATGAAATTTTGGAAACAATCTATTACACATTTTAAATTTGTGTCATGATGATTCAATGACATTATGGTACAAAAAGTTTCTTTTTTAAAATTTTAATCGTCTAGCATATTAAATCAGTATTGAACCATTAAATTTGCCTCTATTAAGTGCAAAGGTAGCAATTACGAACTACGTAATTGAGTAATTCTAATCAATTCTCATCCGAATCAGCAAAGATATTCATTCAAAATCAAATAATATAATTAAAAACACAATTATCTCTAATTAAATTCAATTTACATTTTTAGCGAATCGCCCAAACGAGTGAACGAGTTGTTAACTTCAAAGCCCGACTAATTACTGCACTCATCTAAGAAATAACATTGAATTCTTCATACTCAGCAAAATGCTCATCCATCAATGAATCTTCTTTGCTCAATCGTTTATTTTTCATTAGACTAACAACCTCTTATCTTCTTGCCGTCTCCTTCTCTCCTTCTTTTTCATCATATCAGCTTTAATCTTGCGACATTACTGCTGATAAATTATGTGTTCGCTTTTTTTTCTCATTGCTATTCCTTTCTTTAATGCACAACCTTTCTATTATGCTTATTATAATTAGGAACTACATCACATTACACAAGTTTTTTGCACATCTGCCGAAAAAGTATCAATACTATTGTAAATTTTTTTTTAAAAAATGGTTTTCACATTTTATTTTTTTCATTTTTATATTATAATTTTTTTACCTCTTGCTCAATACAATGACTGTGGTGTTATGTAAAAAGAAACAATTAAGGACAACATGAGAAATTTATTATTGTTTAAAATAATGGAAACAAATGAAAGTGTAGGATATGATAAAAGCAATATGAATTGTGTAAAAAATAAATTGGGAGAGGTTATGTGAACATGGGAGAATCAGCAGCTCTGCTTCACTTTTTGTTTCGCGTATTATTCCTTAGTAATAAAATGCTTAAGATTGAGGAACATTAAATTCACATGAATTTCATTCAAAATCAACAACCACCAATCAAAAACCTTCAAAAATTCGCTTCAATTAAAGTAAAAGTTTTTCTTAGAATAATTTATAAATTTTATTTCCTTTTTGTACCTATTAACTTTCGAAGATTTATGAAAATTCATTTTAAATTCTTTATCATTATGTTACAAAAATTTATTTGTTTTATAAGAAAAATTGTCAAAACATTTAACGAGCCATGCATGTAAGAAAATAAATGAAACAAATTTTTTGAATGTAAATAAAACTAAATTTCAATCGAAATCATGCTGGATTAAGCGTGATGATTTAAATGGATTTTATTCTTTTGAGTTTTTCAGCTTTAAAATTAAAATTTTAACTCTTTATATTTTTTACCGGCTTTAGAGGATTAATTTACAAATAGGTCAAATTTTTAAAATCTCCGCATCTAGGTAAATTCATGAGCTGTAAATGATAAATACTATACATATTGGATTAAATCTTAAAAAATCGTACAAAAATGAAAACAAATATTTATTCATATCTAAACTGCTAATAACAAATTTGACAAGTAACGAAAAACATATTAAATTAAATAATTGAAAATTTTATATTTTCCAACAATATTCAACTGAAGTAATTTTCAACTGCGTAATAAGTTTGTTAATTTCTTCATAGCCTAAGTGAGAAGACCACGAAGCTAAGAATACATGAGATTGTTCAGACGAGACAATATTAGAAATATTTTCAATGACTTTCTTCTTAATCGACAATTCATTTTCGTACAGCTGCATCAATCTAATCATGAAATTTTCCATTGACAAGAGTTGCTTTAGTATCGGATCTTGGACATCCTGCGATAAAGCTCTTTGATTGTTAAGCGATGTTTTTATAATCGTCTGGAACTCTTCTGTATCTTCTATTATATTTTCAAGGCCCGATTCGACGGCTTTTAATTGCTGACTGATATCATTCAAATCGGATAATAATTGTGGTTCACTGGATGTTCTTAATTTCTCCCTTAAGTTGTGATATAAATTTAAGAGCTCAAAACCCCGTTCTTCGTGAAACATCCATCTATCATTTAATAATTGAGATGCTTTCTGGTTGATTTCATCGATGACACTTTCTTTATTTGTTTCCGTAGGTGTTGGTGGATTCATTGCTGTTTTTGACCTGAAGAAACTGGCAATCTTTTCTTTCAGCATCTTTTTTTTGTTCCGTAATGACTGATATAACAATTAATTTAATTATAAACGAATAAGAATAAAATGCACGATGTTTTATTTACTTTCGAGTTTTTTTTTGAGAATTTGTATGGCTTTGAAGATTTCAAATTTAGACCATCCGTTAATTTAAAACTATTGTATGGTTTTAACATTAGAGCTAATTTGCACCTCAATCTAGAAATCCCTAAAATGCAGCTACCCTAATATGCAGATAGTACTGCCAAGATGCAGATGGTTTTGCTAAAGTGCAGATGAAATTTATTTTCCCTAAAATGCAGATGAAATGCTGTTGCTTTAAAAAAGGTATAATGCAGATGATTTTTATCGTATAAAGTGCAGATAAGATGCTGCCCAAATGTAGATCGTATAATTTTATTAAAATAGATCATATAAGATGACTTTTATGATGACCCATATCGACACAGTTCAAAAGTTATAGCTAATTTATGTTATAATTATGTCAGCTACAAAAACACTTAGTTTGAATTTTGTCACCCTCGGGAACACTATGAACCAGTATAGCTGATTTTGGTCCAAATCTCGGCCATACTTCACACTTATTTGAACGACATTTTCTCGTAAATGTTAAAATATTATTAAAAAGTAATTAATCCCGAATTATTTCGCTATTTTGTCAAGTGTTTTAAGATAAAGAATTTTTTTTTTGGTTTCCACAGTGAAGAGTATGAACAAAATTCAGATGGGGTAGTCGAAATTTTAGATTTCAATTTTTTTTTAAGCTATGCATTACAAAAAGTAATATTGGTATTTGATTTATGTTAGAATTATGTCAATTCAAATAAAACATCCAAAAAATTTTTTGAGCAAAGAACCAAGTAGAAATACATTTTCTATTTTGGACTAGGGGCGACCCTAGTCAAAATCAATTCTGTCACTTTTTTCTTCGAGGGTTTATCCAGATGGATTAAAACTATGCATAAATATTCTAATGCCTAAAACAAATACAAATAAACCTTCGTAATTGTAATTGGATAAAACTTCGAGGAAAAAAAAGGGAAAAACTAGATTTTGACTAGACCTGTCCCAAGTTCATAATTGAAAATGTATTTCCTTCTTGGTTCTTTGCTCAAAAAAATTTTAGAATGTTTTATTTGTATTTGTTTTAAGCACTAGAATATTTATGCAAAGTTTTAATCAATTTGGATAAACCCTCGAAGAAAAAAGTGAAAAAATTGATTTTGACTAGGGTCGCCCCTAGTCCAAAATTGAAAATGTATTTCCTACTTGGTTCTTTGCTCAAAAAAATTTTAGGATGTTTTATTTGTATTTGTTTTAAGCATTAGAATATTTATGCAAAGTTTCAATCCATTTGGATAAACCCTCGAAGAAAAAAGTGACAGAATTGATTTTGACTAGGGTCGGACCTAGTCCAAAATTGAACATGTATTTCCTACTTGTTTCTTTGCTCAAAAAAATTTTAAGATGTTTTATTTGTATTTGTTTTAAGCACTAGAATATTTATGCAAAGTTTCAATCCATTTAGATAAACCCTCGAAGAAAAAAGTGACAAAATTGATTTTGACTAGGGTCGCCCCTAGTAGGGTTTGGGGAATCTGTTAACAGAAAACAGAAAAACAGCTGTTTTTCGACAAAAATCTGTTAACAAAAAACAGGTCTCAAAAACAGATCTGTTTTTCATTTTTACATAAAATGTACAGAAAAAAAAATTTCTTAATTTTTTGAAGAACTTAATATATTTTTCTAGCATTTCAAATTGAAATGTATTTACTATTTTAATATTTTTTGGATGTTTAATAGGTTTGAAATCATTATCAAATTTATGGTTAATCATTATTAATTTTGCAATCGAAATTTTAAATTTGTTGAACCTTTTGTAGCATTTACTAAAGTTTAAAAATATTATCAACAATTTTACAAGATATTTTTTTATTCAGAAAGATTTTTTGAATATTTCAAATAAAATATTAGAGCTTATGGAACTTTTACAATGCAACAATGCAATGTTACTTAAAGGTATAAATTTTTTTGGATTTTTTTTTTGCATTTTTGCATTTTTATATTTCATTATATTTTTTAAGAGTTAATTAACATAACAAAATAAGAAATAATAATGCTCAGCTCTAAAATGTATGCTTAACTGCTTATAACCACCTGCTTATATCTTAGAGAAACACTTAGGATAACTCAGTTTATTTTGAATTCTAGAAAAACAGGAAAACAGCTGTTTTTAAAAATCAAAAAACGGAAAACAGACTGTTTTTCAAAAACAGCTGTTTTCCACAAACCCTAGCCCCTAGTCCAAAATTGAAAATGTATTTCCTTCTTGGTTCTTTGCTCAAAGAAATTTTTTTTCATCCAAAGTTTAATTTAAAAAAAATCACAGTGAACTTTTAATTTGAAAAATTCGTAAGAAAGGAAAGTTTTTTGCTTTTTCTGAAGCAACGGCTGTTCCTACCTTGCCCAAAAACTATACAGCTATTCTATAGAGCAGCACAGATCAAATGTAAAAAACTAGAAGTCTCTACGATGTCTCGTTATTGAGATTTCTTGCTGATTAACTTGCTTGCTTGCTTGTTTGCTTACAGAAAGCGTATTTGCAATTTTCTCAGAAATGCCACAACCAATTTGAAATCTGTTTTTTGAAAATGATGTAAAATTTCAGGCACAAACTTTTCTTCTGGGACCTTTATAACCAATTTTGGTTCGTTTTCTCATAAAATGCGAAAAACTGATGTTTCCATCTGAACAAAACAAATAGATTCACACGTGAAAACGGTGTGAATTTAAAAAATACATTTGTAGATATATCAATGAAAGCTGACAAAATTTTAACAAAATTCACAAAAAATATTCGTGAGTGACGCTTAATTAAATTGATTTTCTGACATAACGCCTTAACTTTAGGAAGTAAGTTCTATGTCAAAAGAAAGCAATTTTTATTTTTTACAAGATATAATAACTTTGAAATTTGTCGCTATTGTGGTTTCGGAGATATTTAAGAAACCAAATCATCACTCACGAATAATTTTTTTGTTCGTCGGGGCCCAAAAAATTAATATCCAATGTTAAATTATCTACATTATAACAGCATTTCATCTTTATTTTAATAAAATTATACGATCTACATTTGGGCAGCATCTTATCTGCACTTTATACGATAAAAATCATCTGCATTATCCCTTTTTTAAAGCAACAGCATTTCATCTGCATTTTAGGGATAATAAATTTCATCTGCACTTTAGCAGTACCATCTGCATCTTGGCAGTACTTTCTGCATATTAAAGTAGCTGCATTTTAGGGATTTCTAGATTGAGGTCTAATTTGCAGTAATGTGGATCTTATAAACATAACAGAGGCAATGACGCCATATCTTTAATGTTGCTCACCTGTCATTTATGAGCATAAAAACTAAGTTCTTTTCTTCCGAATTTATTATTTAAAAAATCTAAGGATTTAATTCTGATAGATATGCTCAGTCCCTAAAGAACACATCGCTTGCGAAGGTCAAATATGTTTACAATTTGCTACATCACAATCTTGTCGTTGAAATTCGTGCGCATATCACCAATACACTTCGAATTAGCTACAAACACTTTCAATTTCATAGATAACAAGCTGCAGATTGTAAAATCATACGGCAGACTATTTTCGTATTTTAGTATTGAGTTACACATTTATTGAGGCTGAAGCACGTATTTGCTCTTCTAAAATGTCAAGTAAGATCCAGGAGAGTTATTTAATTGCATAATTATTTGGTCATCAAATTCAATATTTTATTTATTCAAGGAATTGTCGAGATATTGTCCCATCCGCATACTAAAATAACAATAGCTACAATAAGTATTGGCATCAGATTCAAATATTTTAAAAGTCAATTATTTAATTTTTATTATTTTTTGAATATTAAGCGGCTTGCATTGTTGCCGGTGGCGTTGTTTACTACTTTAAGAAGAATCAGCTATGTTTCTTTAAGGAAAAGCCTAAGAAGTGTGTATTATTGAACTCATTCATCTAAAAATAAATCGATTTTATAATTCAGGTGGAAGAAAGTCGGTGTGATTTCTCATAATTTGTGGATCTTCCCTATCAAGTCTTGTGGACCGATTGTTTTGAACGAGTTTGAATGTAGCAACATCGGACCTGAAAATGGACACCTTAGAGACCGTACATTTATGGTGATTCGTGAATCAAATAATGAGTTTGTGTCTGCACGAACGTATCCAAAAATGGTCCTCATAATCCCGAGGATCAAAGGAAATATAATGAGAGTACTGGCACCTGGTATGGACGAGATTCAAATTGATATCGAGAAATTGTATAATAATAAGCAAATGTTGACTGTAACAATTTGGAAGGATGAAGCTTCAGTTATAGACTGCGGTGATGAGGCAGCTAAATGGTTTTCAAAGTTCCTCCTCAATAAAGATGATGGATTTAGGCTTATCTTCTATCCATCAAAGGAACCTAAGCCACATATTGTCCCAAAAGGATACAAATTCAAAACAGCTGATAGAATTGACACTGGATCGTTGCATGACGAAACGTCCTATATGATTATGAATGTTAATTCTGTTGAGGAATTAAATTCTCGACTTGACAAGCAAGTCACGCCATTACAATTCCGTCCGAACTTTGTTGTTAAAGGGCCGGAAGCATGGGATGAAGATGAGTGGAAATGGGTAAAAATTGGCAATGACGCGACATTTAAAGTTATACAACCGTGTACTCGTTGCTCGCTTACTACTATTGATCCGTCAAGTGGTGAAAGGAATAAGAATGAAGAGCCACTCAAGACTTTGAGGAAATATCGTCTTTTTCCTAATATTTCTCCTACTTCACCCATAATGGGTATTCACTTGGGCTTAAGACATTCTGGAACTATCAGAAATGGCGATTCAGTTTATGTTGCATATTGAATGACAATTTAAATTTACAGGAAATCATGAAATTTTACTCAAAGCTTTCAATTTTACAAAATAAAAGGGGAAATTAAAAGAAAAGAAATGCAAATACTCAAGTGCTTTAATTAAATTTAGTATTGTCGTCTATTTCGCTGGTCACGGTCTCTATCTCTTTCTCTCTCACGATCTCTGTCTCTGTCGTGCCTATCGTTTCGTTGATCTTTTGAACGCATTCCTGTATTTGGACTTGGTGTTGTAATGTTTATATCCAAATAATCTCCAATCTGGAACTTTGCTTGCGATAATGTCTTGTTATCATCTGCACCTCTTTGTCCACTACAAGTTACACCAATTTCACGCATACGATATGATCCAGAGCGATTATCAGGAAAAACGAGAGCAAAATCAAAGTAAGTTCCCTTCTTTCGTGTGTCTGGATTAACATCTCGAATCAATTGTGTTAATTCTTTTAATGATGCATCAAGCCATGTATATATTTGCAATTCATTCGAAGGTGCACTTCCATGGGAATATTCATTCATTGAATGATGTCTGCCTGATGAGGAACAGAATACTCGAAGAAGCAATGGACATGTCTAGAAATATTAAATGCGGCTATGAAAAATTTAATAAAATTTTCATTTTCATTATTTTACCTTTTCACGATCAATTTCTGAACGATTTTCCTTTGGTTTTTCTTCTACAATCATTGATTCGACTCCTGCCATGGCTTATGATATCCAATTTACTGTATTTCTGTTATTATTTTAATTGATAAATTTAATCGATGAAATGTTTACTCGAAGAAAGTTTATAATTCTGTGTGTGTAAATTTCTGTGATAGTATTAATGCGGGGTTGGTAAAGGGGTGAGTAATCGAGTTTGAATTTAAAATAACCGTTAATTTAGATGAGAATCTAACACGTGTGCAACAGCCAGCTGAAACATTTTATTTCGTAAAGGAGACCAAAAATGAACAAACACAGTTTCTGTTTCTTTCTAAATTTTAATTATAATTTGTTCGATTCCAATTATGTACAAATATAAATTTCATTGATAGAATTCTTAATTAAAACATAAATCACATCTTGCTGAAGTAATCTCGAAGAGATAAAACTCACTCCAATTGTTCATAACAGTTAAACACTATATGTAAAGATTCTTGCTACTATACATCATTACGCACTAAGGAAAAAGAATGAAATTATAAACTTAATGGACATTACCAGGGTTGTTAAAACATATTCTATTTTACAGAATATGTACACATATCCAACACATTTTGCATGTTTACGTGTACAATGTGTGGCAGAATTCATATGGTGGCAGATAATATATGTCACACATTGCATATGTGCACATATTTTATGTGTGATGTGTGCACATATTTGATGTGTGACACATTATTTTGTGTCACATATGAAAATGTGTGATGTGTGACACATATTTATGTGTGTAGATATCATGTGTAAACATGCAAAATCTGCACATATTTATTAATTTTGGAGAAATGAAGATTAAACTAAGAATGATGAGCTTCAGTTATGATCAAATCTTTAATAGTAAAACTCGTGTCCCTTAATCACTTGTAAATCAATTTTAAGTCAATTTTTCCGAAAATAAAGTCAAATTAGTTTAAAATTACAGCTTAATGAACATATTTTCAACAAATTACCTCTTTTATGCAGTATTTGACTGTTTTGGTTAAATATCAATAATTTTTTAAATAAATTTCACAAAAAATATCACTTTAGTCCGACAAATTAATAAATATGTGCAGATTTTGCATGTTTACACATGATATCTGCACACATAAATATGTCACACATCACACATAAAATATGTGCACATATGCAATGTGTGACATATATTATCTGCCAACATATGAATTCTGCCACACATTGTACACGTGAACATATTTTTAAAAAAGGCCAGATTCTATTTTTAACCACCCTGTGACATTACAAATTCTTCCATTATACAGTTAACATTTTAAAAATCTAATCATTCATTAATTATAGTTATGCATGTCTTTTACACGTTCCTTCATGATATATATGTATATGTATTTGGAAATTATTGTTAAGGTCTAAAGTTTTATTCTTAAACGAAGTAACTACTTTGATTCTCGCTTTCAAACGCAAATCTTGTTTTATCAAGAGTTTAATTTTATCGCTGATTTAAAGTTTTGTATGTTTGACACTATCAGTCCAATAGTTTTGAATTGTCATTGCCTCTAGTGAATTCAAGAATGAGTCATTATCTAAGCTGTAAAGTTCATCTGAGTTGTCCTGTAAATAAGATATCGTTAAAGATGTTTAAATTTATGTGAAAGCTATATTTATACCCGAATTGTACTGTCATCTATATAGCCACTGGAATCAGGTTCACTCAAGGCTTGCGGTTTATTGAGAAATCTATTAAGAATAAATATGAATCTTAATGTAATAAATCATCTTTCTATCGACAACACGAACCTTCTCCTATACACATAGACAAATAAGATGCTGAATGCTGATAACGATCCAATAATCCCTACACATATAATAGATATGATCCCAGTATTCATTGTAATTCCTCCATTGTCCGTATCTGTATCGAATAAAGCTTCTGACGAAAGCTTTTCATCGTTTGTTGAACTCTGACTCAAATGTGTCACTTGAAATGTCGATCTGGAGCTGATGTTGTTGACAATTTTGGTTTCCTCGCTAAATCCACCTAAAAGTCCCTTTGATTTTCTTTCTGAAAGCTCTGCAATTTCAGTGGCATTAGACTCCTCATCAGTCATGACTATTTCAACTGTATCATTCAAATCACTAGGCTCTGTTACGTCTGATGCTGATAAATTTAATGACTTAACTGTAAGGATATGTTCATCTTTTGATGATGTTGATTCTTCGTTAATTCTTATGAGTTTTGTGGTTTGAGTTGTTGATGTTTTAATGGAACTGTAAAGAATGAAGGGGAAAATTAGTTTAAAGGAATGTGTCTTAAAATTATTTATTTACCTTAAAATGGCATTTGAATCTGTAACACTACTCAACATGGTCGTTGGCATAGTTGTTGAAATATTTTCATTTGTACTATTTACATTGGATAATGTGAATGACTTAATTATATCCTCGGGCTTTGGACTATTCACATTCATTTCTAATTTTACGGATACGAATTTTGGTTTATAATCTGCTGTATTACTTGATTCATTTTTCGTGTTATGCTTTTCGCTAAGCCACTCACTCGTTTTTACAATTTTCTCAACATCGATTTCACTGGCACCAACACGAAGATCATCTGTGTCAGATGTCTCGAATGTCAATGGAGCGGATTTACTACCGGTCGAAATTTTCTGTTGCTGATCATTTGTCAGCTGGAATGAATTATCATTTTGAACTAATGCTGATTTTAATGATGTTGAAATTGTTTCTAATGATGAAAATGACGCTGGCATTGCATAAATTGCTGACTGATGCTGCTGTTCGACGAGAAGCATAAAGCAACATGTTATCCAGAACCAATGATTCCACCAATAAAATGTCATTTTATTATTCAACGTGTATCGTTTCAGCTTGTTATTGAAAATTTTTAGCCTGTAATGAATCAATAATGAGAATGCATTTAAGGTTTAAATTTATATTAATCATATAAAAAGTATTTTATAGCGCTTAATTATTGGCCACTTGCTAATTGATTTTGATGCATGACAAGCTTATTTATTTTAAATCAGCTAACCTTTACAATGCTAATTGTACATTGCATTGGTAATGATTTTTTTTTCGCTGTATGTTTTTATAGAAGCGTCTAAAACTAATTGTAGTTGTGAGAAAAAATAAAGTAGATTGTTTGTGGTTTAGACTTTTATATTGAAAGGGTTTTAAAGGTTTAACAAGCGACAGGGTTAAAATTTTCTATATGCTGACATCCCTAATGCTTCTTGAAAATTATAAGGTCACAACTTGCTAGTTTTAAATTCGTTGCGGGAAATTGCTGAGGTTTAACTGAAGTCTCTGAACTACGGTTAATTAATATTTTTTTTTAATTTTTACCTCTCAAATTCCCAAATTTCAGATTTTGAATCTTAATTTAGACCATCGAAAACTTTTGTTGCATTCTCAAAAACTTTTCAAACATGCCAGCAACTCAGTCTTTTATCACATAATCCACGCAATTTTTGCAATTTCCTTTAGATCTAAATCATGTATCAATCTCAATAAATCACAGCAAATTTTTCATAAATCTTAAACATAATTTAAATGAAAGCAAGTTACGCACGACTGATCTATAAAATATATTGCCATATAAATCACGAGAAATTATGCAATCTAATTTTCATCACTGTATGCACATGAAATTACAAATTGCTAGAAAACTTCTTATTGATTTATGACTTGTTTAATATAATCAATTTTTTTACGTGCCTAAACTGGAATACTTCTTTTTCTTGCTGAATTTGATGGATGTTGAACATGAGGCAGAAAATGTGTTAATGAATATTTAATAATTATTTTATTTTAATCATTAATTATGATCGCTGATATTTGGTGAGTGGTTAATGCAAAAATAATTATTTATTGGACTGGATGGATGACTCAAAAAGTCTTTATTGGTTTTTGAAACTATTTTTATGAAGGTTAATTTTCACTTTCCATTTTATGTTGATTTTATAAGTAATTTAAAGACACAAGAGATTAATCCAAGTACGAATTTAAAAGAAGAATTAAATCCACTTTACTGCATGATATCATGTATGAAACTTATCTTATTGCTACGTCACTTTTAATACTTTTTTTTTCTTCTTTCCATAACATAAATTTCCTTTCCGAATAATCAAAAGAGAAAAAAGAAAAAGAACTCCAATCATCCGAAACACGCTCTGAATAAACGAAATACTGCCAAAATAAATTATGCAATTCATCATCATGTGCAGACTTTTATTGCATGTATTAAAATTAATGCTACTGAAAGGCTCATTTGGGTAATTTACTTCGAACTGAACCATTTAAAATATTATGAAAGTAAAAGTTACAGAATGCTTTTGGTATGAGTTTAAGAGTGTTGGTCTAGGCTCAGTGACATGTTTTGATCTATTTCTATGAATGCAAACTTGCAGGAAATTTCAAAGAATTTCAAAAATCCAATTTTAGATAATTTGATACTTCAATAAATTTCAATAAACTCATAAAATTTGTTGGCAAGAAATGCGTGTAGAGGATATATAATTTATAACAAATCAAGTCTTTAAAATTGCTTTTTATGAACACAAAACAGAAGCTTCAAAACACAGAAGTACAATAAGAGACATAGTTTTTTCAGGGCTTAGCACAAATTTCAAGCCCGAATGAATTTGAGAGCTCAACCGAAAAGGTAGTTAACTCATTGTTTCTGACAGTTGCTTACTCTTCATTTTATGTTTGAGTTTTCTTGTTAGCATTGTTGTTGCTTTTGTCTATTTTAACAAAATTTTGTGGACTAAATGTTTTTCTCTCGCAATTGCTTTGGGAATAGTTTTGATATAAAAACTGCATTGAAACTGTGGCTGACAAAATGTTCATACAAAAGGAGTAAATTGTTAAAAGCATTTACAAATTAAAAAGCGTCGCAGCCATTCAATTTCAGTGACAATTTTTCTATATTTTTGTGAATCATCAATGTTAATGCGTGCAAAGACACAATGTTATTCTATTATTTTCATTGCAATGAATCAGACTCTGTCTTACAACTTCCATATTTTCAGTGTTTTACGGTCATGAATCTTTTTAATGATCTCTGTCAAATTGACGCCTAGAATTTTTACTTTATATCCAAGATGGAATTAATCAAGCGATTTTGATGTTATTATTTTTTTTAAAAAAGAGAGAATAAACAACAATCTGCGTGGGTAGAGAAACTTTTGGCGAGATTTTTACCGTATTTTTTAAGCAATACACAAATGATGACATCGATGTTATATTCAAAATTCTAATTTTTTAGATTTGATGAGTAAAAACCTTACATCAAATGAACTTAAAATATATTTTTATGTAAATAAGAGTCAGCTGTGGAAGGGAGAAGCTTGCTGGCTAGTTAAATTCAAATAAATCAATAATCAAATACGTAATAAGCGATGTTAATTTATTTAAGGTCACAGAATCAATTCGTTTCGTCTGAAAGAAGGTCTCTCCCTTCAACAATGAAGATTATATGAATATTTTCGATATAGTCATCAGCATGATGTTTAAACTACAAAAAAATATTAATTGCGTATTTTATAATATTTCAATTATTTAAGCACAAATTATTTTTACCAAATTTGTTTGCGCCATTTCAAACACGTTATTGGGAACGATGTCTGCACAATATTTTAATCGGACACACAATTACGTGAGTAACATCTTCTTCCATTGTTTTATTGTGGAATGGAATTAACATCGCAATAACAATTTTTCCTACAAAGTCACAATTTTTGAGTCACTTTCTGATCAAATCGAATTTACATAAAATTATGTGCTTACGTATGTTGACGACGACAAGGCATTCTAAAAGCTTTGAGACAATAGACTGTACTAAAAATATTTAGCTACAGTTGCAATTGTCTGTAATGATGAACTTGAAGCTGTATTTTCGACAGTTTTCTGAGATTTAATTGTTTAAAGCACGACCTTAAAAACCCCTCAAAAATAATTATCTCTTACTAATAGTGATAATAATCACTTTTACATTACTAAAAATCACTCTCAATTTTTAATCACTGATGACAGAAACAGAAAAAAGAAGCGACGAGAAAGAGAAAGAAATTAACAAGATGAGAATTTGATGATGCAATGGGAAAGTTTTTCTTCTATGGGAACAGATTTGCATTATGGAAAATTGTCCTCGTTAAGTTTATTGCTTTGTTTGTTATTACAGATAAATTTATTGCTATCTAAGCTGTGTCGAGATTATGGACAAAAGTATATCAGTAGAATTGCAAAAATATATAAAAAAATTTCAAGCAGCTTCAATTATTAATGGATGATTTCATTTAATTTATTAATGGTGAAAACGCATTGGATACCAAATTAAAATGTTTTTAGACACTAATCTGAACGTGCTGAGAAACGCTCATTAATATCTGTAACAGTAAAGTCTTTATATAATTTATTATTAATCATACTCCTACGTTTCTCAATCATTAATTAAAACCATTCCTTTTTGGCATTAATAATAAACCTCGTTTTATAAGAACTGACCGTAAAGTTTAAAAAATGTAAAAAGTGTCATTTATAAATAAAGTTAATAATTTAAACTGAATGCAGGAAATACCTGCTTAAATTTAATTTTCTTTGCAAAGTGCTCTCCATAACCTTGATCATAATATCTTCCAAAAAAACTACAACATGACAATGAATAATAAAGATAGAGTCCAGCAACAAATTCTATCCCAAAATAATTAAATTTCGCATTTCAAAACAACAATAACAATATTCATTCACTTCTGTCGGTAGACTTTAAAACATTTACGCATTCCAAAAAAAGGGCTCGAGAGTTACAAAAAGTTTATATAAATATAAATAAAAAATGACACATGAATCATACAACAATGATCACACAAATTGAAATAATCGGGGTTGATCACTTATGACGAACTTATGAGTGAAATGTAAATTAGATTTTTTAATGAAATTTTCCACTCTTAATAAGGAGCCGTAAAAAAATTTACCTATTGAAAAACAAAAGATTTTAAAACACGCAATGAGCAAATATTTGAACAATTTAATTTCAATTTAATTCAACAGTTCGTCGACACTTCCTAAAATGAAATTATTTTTCTCATAACATTCATGTTCATGTCAACTTAATAGTCTATTAAATGCTTACATTGACTCGCTTTTTTCTCATTTTTTTTTCTTAACAATAGAACCGTTTATAATTTGGCATTAATAAAATGTTTAGACATAAAGTCGTATATGACTTAAGTAGACATGATCAATTAAACCTCAGATTCCCATTAACAAATAAAATTTTTATATTGAGTTCATGGTTTTATTTTAATTTAATTTACCTAGATATAATGAGAGACATACTTCTGGTTGATGGATTAAAATCAACTCATCAGTTATATAAGAATATATTTTAAAAATCCGTGAATGAAGAATTTTCTCGAGAGATTTTTTGCGGATTTCCATAGTCGAATAGACCACAAATCGCACAGTAAATGATGCAATAATTGATTTGGATTGCAAATTTACTATCCACATCGGAATTAATTTTATTTCAGTTAAGTTTTTTTTGAGCTGATGAGCTGGAATTTTGATGTGAAAAGTCTATTATGGCATGAAGATTCTAAAAATGAAAGTAAATTTTAAACTTTTCGAATTTTTTTGTCGTGTATCTTTAAGCTAATACACACATAAAAACCATCCATGCTCTGATTGCTAAGTGGCGATTAAAACGCAAACTTATGAATTTTCAAGCAAATACAGAAAATATTTATCCACAATTTATAAAAAGTTTTTTTTTCTCAAAAAGAAAGGTTGAGCTAATTTTTTGTTGAACTGGATGTACGACATGTAATTAATGTGTTTTCTTTATGAAGACCTTTTGTCGGTAGTTCACATTGCAATACAATTAC